ATTTCAACAGAATTCTTTTGCTACTAAAGTTAGAAGCGACATTTAGTGGATAGAAGCCCTCTGGAGATGCAGTTGTTGAGAAAGAAAAAAAAGGTACTTTGTCTAATAGCCTCAAGGATTCCTGTAGCAAAGGGAGATCATTACTGTTTCCTTATTTTAAAAACAAACAAAAAACAAACCCCCCAAAAAGGGCAGATGTTGCATATGATGAGAGATGTGTTGGCTGTGCTTTGCGATTCTTCAGATTCAGGAGCTGCACTGAATCCCATCACTGAAATCTATTTTCTATTTTCTGACATCTGTTTTTGCCATTTACTTTAAAAGCAGATGGGGAAAATGCAAAGAAGAGCTGTCAGTTTTATTACCATGTATAATCAGCATCTGTGCAATACATCAGACTCATTGCGCAGCTTAGACTTTCTTCTCGGTAGTAAAAATTCTTTTGGGATTTCTTGACAAGCTGCTTGCAGACTTTTTGCAAATGAGTAGATGCTGGAATTAAAAGTATGGATTAATTAACTGCTAAAGCCACTATTGTATTGAGCACTATGGTATTGTACTTAATCAGGATGTTATGTTCTGATTGTTTAATTGTAAAATATATGGCTAAATTTGCTGCTCCGTATTTAAATTTGTGTTTTCTCACAGAAGATGTTTTATTTTATTTTATTTTATTGTTCTGAAATACTTTTTTAGGTATATCTCTGACCCCTTAATATGCATTTAGGTGCAACATATCCCTGTGCAGTAATTTCTACCTTTCTCTACTGAGCAGGCTTAGTGTATTGTACCCCGTCTGCATAATTTTTTTAAAAAAAACATATTCTGTAGAGAACAGAGTGTTCTTTATTCCCAGTCTGCCCTTTTTCCTGGTGCAGAAGGCTTTCATAGAAATTACTTTTTTGCGGTGGGAAAATAAGCTGGTTTAAAAGTGTCGGTATAAATAAGCATGTTGTCTGTCTCCGTTAAGTGCGGAAGCAGTAATCAGTAATGGTGTGCTGCAGGCGTGTAGCAGAGAACAGCATCCTCCTGGAAAGTGTCAAGTGATTTACATGTCACAGGGCTCTCCGGGCATCGAGTGGGAAGAATACGTCTGCTGGCTCGGGACCTGCTTTGATTTGATTTGATTAGGTTGGAAGTCACAACTGCAGAAGCATCTTTGTTTCTTAGAATAGTAGGTGGTTGTACATTACGGTGTCTGCAGTGATAACTAGGGAGGAAGGACTTCGAAACAGAAATGTTCCCAGTAGAGCTCCTTGATAGGAGAGATTAGGGAATAGTCTTCAAAAAAGGTTTGGACCAGTTCACTATGTTAAAACACTTATGTATTGATGCAGGACTTCTTTGAACTGGAACACTGAAAGGAGCAGGAGACTTAATACTCAGAGCATTAATTAGCATTTTTGTGGTGACGGGCAGAGTACTTCTTACACATGAGGCAGTGCAAGCTTTGATGCAGCATGTACTTAACTGTCTTCCTCCATTATCTTATCTTAGTAAATATGCTACTAAAATTGGCTGTGCCTTTTGAAAAGGAAACCACCAAGGCACTGTTTATGATACATGGATGATCCTTTATAATAAAGAGTGACTTCTGGGATGACTTTGAAAGAAGATGTGCACAAAATTTTACGCAAGTTCCATGGAAGAGTACTGATATTAGCTTTTAGTTCTGTAACACAATGGTACTTCTGGCCATGTCATTTGCGAGTACTTAGTAGCTGATTTTTTCAATAATAGATAACTGCAACCCATCCTATTCCAGAATTAAAAATCTTTCATTTAATATGAGGAATTATTATAAAAGAGTTTTTACTTACTCTGAATTTTATCAGTAGAATGCAAATTTCCTTTAGATATTAGTCTGTCTGTGCTTTGTGACCCTGGAATATATCTAATCAGATTTTTTTTCTGGAATAGTGGATGCAAATTTGCACTCTGTGAAATTCAGCTGATTCTAGGAAGATAAAGCAGAAGATTACAGGATAACAAAGCTTGAAAATGGGAATTTGATTTATTTTCTTTACAGACAAAGTAGGATATAAAAGATTTTTCCTCTGTATTTATATAATCTTATTTTTTCCTTTCTTACACTAATCTCATTTTTTAAATGTGATGTGTTTTAGCATGTAGACTTTGAAGTGAGTTAAGAAAAGACATACTTAGACTATCCTACTATAACAAATCCTTTATCCAGAAGACCTTGTAAATTTATCCCAGCGCTGCACAGTCTGTCTGTTAGACTACAAATTTCTCACTAAAAGAAAATTTTAGATGTAGTTGGCAAGGATTTCGTTTTACGTATCCACCAGTGGATCAGTAGTTTGCTCTATTAGAACTGAGAGAAAATTAACTTTCAGAAATATACTGTAGTATAACTTCTTCAGGTTTTCGACCCATATAATTAGTAGGCAAAATGGACAGCAGTAAATTAAATCTGCTATTCTATCTTCCATAAAAAATGGCATAAACGTGCCACATCAGGTACTTCACTTTATAGAACTAATATATTTTTAAATTAAAGGAGCAAACTGGAAAATACTTTATGTCTTTAATTTAATGCTAAACCTTTTCTTTTTTGAGTTACATGTGATACTATAGCTAGTTAAGAGCATTATATGCTTAAAGATAGGTGAGCGTAGACTGAAGCGCCTCTGGCACTAGGTTACAAATCTCTGCATCATGGGCTAATAAGCAGCACTTATAAATGAGGCTTCCCAGTCCTTTTTACCCCACATCCCCTTTCCAGTCCTCTGCATATGCCCTACGCGTTTCCCTGTGCAAGATATTCTTTGACTATTTCTCAAAGCTACACGTCTGATAAATGTCTGGTCAGGCTGTCCCTGGTGGTTAGGCAGTTGGTTGCTGCCAAATAGAGTGTATAACAGGAATGGATGGATGGCTGCCATTCCCTTCATGGCTGGGTTCATTTGGCTTCTCAACTCCTTCCCATTGCTAAAAAAAGGAAATTTTTAGAAATTTATTATCTGAAGGTTTTACCTCTCTTTGACCTAGCCAGCTGAATAGAAAACTATCTAGATGATAAGCATGCATAACCTTTATTTTCTGGGGAAACTAAGCTAAAACCGTAGTGTAAGAACAGAAAATACTTGGGTTTGTTCCGACTTGGTGTTGACCTTTAACTTAAGCAAATTTTTTACTTATTCAGATGTTTGCCTTCTGCATCTCCTTAAGTATACTGGGAAAGAATGACCTCGTTCCTTTATAGCCTACTCAGTGCTCCTGGTCTGATGCAAAATGTGTTTCATGGGTCTGAAAGGCTCAGCCAAGGCGAAGTAAGCATATGAAAGAATATAATGTATATGGAAAAAATTAAGTCTTGTGCCATGGTATTCCCTACAGTGTTCAAAATATACCTGAAAACTATAGCAAGGTGACAACATTTTCCTAGTTAAGGACTTTTTAAAAACACGAACCCTGTCTGAAGCAGCTCTGATGAAGTGAGATTTTCTGTGTGTCAGGAAGATTTTTTTGAGGATTTTTATTTTCCCTGCCTTCTTTATAAGCCATTTTAGAACAAATACTGCTAAGGTAAAGTGTGATCAGACTTAGAAGATTTTTAGTATTCAAATTGTACAAATCTCCATCAGAATAAAACTTCACAAAAGCTACAAAAAATCTTCAGATCGGCTAGACTGTGATCTCTGGAGAAATTTTACAAAAAGAAACAATTGTTGTAAGAATAGTTTCTTGGAAAGACTTCTCAGAGTCAATATATGAGCTTATTAGTTATGCTGCACACACAGGGACTCATATGTCTCAATCAGAGCAAAAGTGAAACAGAAGAGAGTAAATAGGACAAGTGTGAAAGACAAAGAGGCTTATATTCCTGCATCTAGATTTAAAGAGGCTTTTGACCTTAGATTTTGAGTCAGCATTCAAGTAATTTAAAATAGTGCATTAAGTTCTACAGAATTTTGATTCCTTATATGGAATAGATTTTTTTGGCATTTTGTTTATGCATGTTGATCGTAGTAAGAGTTGATACCTGTGCATGAAAAAGAGAAATAGAAAGCTTAGTAGATAGCTGTGACATGTAGTTTGAATAATACTGCCTTTTTCTGTTGTACTTTTTAGTATAAATAGTTTCATTCCTTATGTCTACACAACAGTCATTTTTTTCACTGCCATAACTATAAAATACTGTGGTGTGTGAAGTAGCATCTACATTAAACATGCTTATTGCTGAATCTGTTTTGACTTGTTGGCAAGTGGGCCCTGGGTATCTATCAGCATAGATTTCCCTTATGTAAAGCTCTGGAAGTTCAAAAAAAATTCATGGAAAACTCTTTGCATCAGCAAATTCACACTTTGCAGTATGGCAAGTTTCAGTCACAGTCACTATACATACAAAGCAAACATGGCCAGTAACATAAACTACAATTTTAGATTAAAATACTTGTTTAAAGAAGTTAGAAGTGTGACTGTTCAATCCTAATAGCATATCTTAAAGAAAACATGTTATGTACTGTATCTAAAGAAATCATGTGTGCATGTTTAAAAATAGGACATTTACCTTACTGCTGGTAGCAACATATGTTATTTGTTCTGCAGAACATTCTTCTCCCCTTTCCTATGGTTTGCATATTTCAGTGATTAACTCACAGAAGTCTTGAGACATTTCTAAATAAAACTTACTATAAAAATTGCTGTAGGTGAATAATACATTGGGAGTCATTAACACTAACTCATGTTTGAAGTTTTTAATGAAAGTTCTAGCTTAAATTTTATTAAAATCTTGTGTGCACTAAAAATAACTTTGCTTTAGATACAAAATCAAGATGGGGTTTTAATTTACAACTTTTCTCTCTATAGGTTAAAGGCTTTGTTTTACAGACAAAAGCTGGAATTTTTTTGTAATGAAAACTAGAATTGCCTTATTTGTTAAAGTCTATCCCTTCTAGGTTGTTAAAGCATTAGATTGCTATTTGGCTTAAGTTTTTTTAATTTTATGTTGTTTTATATTTATGTTGTTACAGACGGTTAGAGCAAAATTCAATCAAGGTCATACCTCCTGGAGCTTTCTCACCATATAAAAAGCTTCGAAGAATGTATGTACCTAATAATCTGAATTTATTTTTTTTATGTTCATATATACACACACACACACATATATATATATTTATATTTACATTTAAAAAACCCCCCACGTCAAGGTCATACATAGGAACCGCAGAGCGTGTGTGAGCATTTGAGAAAGTTTGACTTCTGGAAGTTTAACTGACATGGCAGCCTGATTATTAAGACCGTATAGCAACTTTGTCACATTAATAATAATTGTTTTTTACCAAGTACTGAAATTCTTTAATATGGTTCTGCATAGAAGCAATATGTGACTATAGTACAGAACATTCTATAAATAAATTAATGGAGATAAGTTGCTGTTATTTCAGGATATCTTTGAGGCTGTAGAGTCCTGTGGCTATAGCAAATAGAGAATTCTTTATAAAATGTACTTAAGCAATTAGGAAAAATAAATCTTTTTTGTCATTGCTTTTCAAACTTTGAAATGTCCATTTTTAACCATGCATTTTGCTTCAGTGTAATGGCAACTTTAATAGTGTTATATACTTATATTCTTTGGTATGTCTCACATAAGTTTTTTTTATTTATCTCCCACTTCTATGCCTAATTCTAATTGTATATTACTTTCATGTTTACTATTTTGAAAATAGATTGAATTAATTGAATCGAATTTCCTTTATTTCAGTGACCTCAGCAATAACCAGATCTCTGAAGCAGCTCCAGATGCTTTCCAGGGCTTACGTTCACTCAATTCACTGTAGGTATCTGTTTGGCCTGTAAAAACAAAAGTGAATTTCTCATGTTTTTATAGTGAAATTATTTCGGACTTTTGGCTCCCTGCAGAATTTTCATATAAATTCGCTTAATTCTGAAAGCTGTAAAAAATAATTTCAGAATGTTAGTGATAATTCAATATCATATCACAGCTGGACACTAGAAACATATAGTTTGTTTATAAATACATTCATGGTAAAGTGTAAACAAAATCAAACATTTCTTTTATTCCCAAGTTAGTTCTTCTTACAAACAACTTACAAATCCACTTCCCAAGGTCCCTTGGTAAGGCTCTAAGCAGTAAAGTGCTGATTCTGCTGAGAGCTCTTTGGGCAAAAGACCTTTTGGGAAAATATGTGATCCTGCTGCTTCACAGGGCCACAAGGATCTTGCAAGTATCAAGTTGTTGCTCTTAAATTCCCTTCAGAAAGATGGAAGTTTCTTTATTTCTAAAGTCAAAATCACATAGTATATGCCTTTCATAATGGCGGCTTTTTTGCTTCATTGTTTCCTGGTGCAGTGTCCTCTATGGCAATAAAATTACAGAACTTCCAAAGGGCCTGTTTGAAGGACTCTTTTCTCTGCAGTTGCTGTGAGTACTTGTTTTTAAATATTTGTTCTTTTTTGAGATAACTCAGAAGGGTAAACATGATGAGAGATTTATGGCTGGAGAAGAACTGGCAAGAAATCCCATATATAAGATCTGAATATAAGAACCAAATTATTTTAAAGTCAAAGGAATCAAGACAGTTGTTGGCCAGCTTGGTATTCATCCACAAATTATATCATATCTTGGTTAATGTCTCAGCCCAAAGTGATTAAAATGAAACTATTCTCTTGTGTGAAATTTATAAGAATAAAACACATAAAATACGATACTGTCTTGCCCTGTAAACAGCAAATAGTATGTATAAAGCTGCGTGGGAACCATAGAAGGAATATTTGTATGTTTTATACAGAGAAAATACGTAGTGGAAACACTATGTAATTGTTTTTCTAGTTTTACCCATGGAAAAACGAAGTTGCAGTACAGTTTCATTGGTGACTTCTAAAGTTTTCAGGCACTCTTCTCTCTGTAACTCTTTGACTGAACTCTAGCTGCTCTTAGGAAAATTTGAAATCTTCTGTGTGTAATCTTGTAAATTATTTCTATTTAGATTTAGTACTGGGAATAGAGAAGAATGTCATGATTATATGTTTATCAGATAACGTTAATATTTAGCTGAAGAGGTTGTGCACTAGGGATGTGTGAAAGGAATTTGTGTAATAGGCTGTAAAAGGGGTTTGTGGAAGAAACTGTCCCAGAATAATTGACTTGTTGATTTCAAGCTTCTTGTTGGTTTTAAAGCGTCACTTGAGTAGATGTGATATCCAAATTTCATCGTGTATAGTGATGGGAAAAATGTCTATTAATAAGAACTCATTTAAGATGGCAAAAATGTAAGTGAATACAAAGAATATGCAAGTTCTAGCACCACCTAGAGGTTTATATTTTGATTTATTTTAGTCACAAACTAATATAGTGGGGGGGTGCAATAGGGATTCCTATTTTCTGTTGAAAATATTCTAGTTATAAAAACGTATTTCAGCTTTTGAAAAACAAAAGGGAAGAAACATCTCTCAACGTCTGTTTATTCTGTATTAATAAAGTAAATAATTTGATATACTTTCAAAGCCAATGCATTTCAGTCCATGTAAAATCCTACTTGTGTGATGAAACTTTTTTTCAGAACATTGGTTTTCAGATCCACCAATCCATTCCATTTCTGTCTGGAAATGGGAAAAAATCAAAACTATTTTATTACAAAAATGCATCTAGTTGAGTAACATTTTTGGTTTTCTTTTCTTCAAAAGCATGAAGGAGTTGGTTTAAATTGGCATGTTTGCTTTAACTTTAGAAATCTGGGAGGTGGAGGGAAGAAAAGGTTCCCTTTGGAGACAGAGAGGAAAAAGGATCCAAGACAGATTTGGATATATTCCATGCCACCAGTTTTTACTACAACTCTGTTAATGCGGCAGCATGCTGATTAGTAACATATAATTAAAAGTGCCACTGCACATCTCTTCCAGCTAATGAATACAGTGTTCAGTTCCTTTTTTGTTTGTTTATTTATTTGGCAGAAGGAACTAGTTTTCCCTGCAGATACTTGATATTTTTTTTAAGCTTCTTTCTTTGCACAAATAACACACACACACATTATACCAGCACATACAAAAATGTGATTTAACTGAATAAACTGAGACATTTCAACTCCAAGGTGCAAATAGTTAGGAATTATTACAGAACACCTAAATAAGATGTTTCAATTCACTGAAATACCTTACGTTGCTGTCAATTAATGTTTGTTACTACATCTCTTGTTCTGGTTACAAACATGCACAAAGAATTATGTGTAAAAAGAACACTGAAGCTGCAGCGCCACTGAGCGAATTCTTCCAATTTTATAATTGTTCTCCCTTAAACAGATTATTGAATGCCAACAAGATCAATTGTCTGCGAGTCGATGCTTTTCAAGATCTGCACAACTTGAATCTTCTTTCTTTGTATGACAACAAGCTTCAGACCATTGCAAAAGGCACCTTCTCACCCCTACGCGCGATTCAGACCTTGTATGTATGCTCTTGTTTATGGCTGTCTTTAGTATGACTTCATACTCTACAGTGTACTGAAAGTATTGGGAATCGCTGAGACCAAAGGGAAATAATGTGTGAAATTATTATTTTTTTTCTTCATGAAAGGCATTTGGCTCAGAACCCATTTATCTGTGACTGCCATCTGAAGTGGCTGGCGGATTATCTTCATACAAACCCCATTGAGACCAGCGGTGCTCGTTGCACCAGCCCCCGCCGTCTGGCAAACAAAAGGATCGGCCAGATCAAAAGCAAGAAATTCCGCTGCTCAGGTAATTTTCTTAGTTCAGCTGCTTTTTTTCTTTTATTGGCAAAAATGGTGGTTATAGAAGTTCTGATGAAGGCAGCTGGCTCTCTACAGAATTCTGAAACATTGCAAAATCTTTGTAGTTCTTTGACAGAAGGGGTTGGAAATCATGGAAGTCATGAACTATTGGATCATGGAACGTTACTATAGTTAACACATTTGGCACTATTTCTGAGTAGCATTAAATCTAACAAAAGAAATGCAATATATAATACTTCAGAACGAAATGCTAAAGCTATTCACCACAAGCATCACCACCATAAATCATTTTGTAAAATTTCCGCAAGACTCTGGAGTATGTGAAAGATCTAAAAATTTCTAGCTAAATATGGAAACATGACATTCATTTTATACAGGGAGCTTACCTCATACTGAAATTTACTGTTTTCTTTTTTCTAATCTTATTCCATTTCCTACTTACGTTTCTCTCAATCCTAACTTTCGTCATATGGTATCCAGCTGTTTGAGGTGCATTTCACAATCTACAATTTATTCAGTCTCAAGTGCAAATACCAGATGAGAACTGTTCGTTATCCATGTTCCGGATACATTTATGACTATTCACACTTTGTTGTTTATCAGCTCTCATTGTGAAAACACATTTTTTCACTTAATTACCTGTAGTTAACTGTAGACCATACTTAATCTAATAAAACTCATTCTTTGCTTGCTGACATTCAGGTGCATCTTCTATTTTTTTCTCTTTATTTAGCTAAAGAACAGTATTTCATTCCAGGTAGGTTTGGCTCTGCAGTAAGATTGACTAACTGCCAATACTCTCTCCCTTTCCCCCAAAAAACAAAGTTTGTTATAGCTTTTAGGAGACTGATGCATGTGTATTAACATTAGTCAATACCTATTAGCTATAGTTTTCCTTTGTAGATTACTAGTAGTTCCATTTTCTGAATATAAGAGCTTAGCATGCAGCTCCATTGAGGTTTTTTTTTGTCTCACAAATTCACACACAACCTACCAAAATTATACTTCTACTTAAATTACTTAGAAGGTTGCACCTGCTACTTCATTTTTCAATTGACACCTTTACTTACCTTGTACCTTGCCTTTCTGCCGCTACTGTTTTTAAAATGTAGCTCCTGAGCTGCTTTTAAACACAGGAAACCATACTACCATCAAAGAGCTAGTACAACTTTAAAAAAAAATAAACATTTTACAAGTGAACACTGTCCTGCCTTGCTTTCATGCTCTACACTGGCTGCAGCTACTGCTTGTTCACCCTCCTTGTGTTTATGAAATTACAGTGGAATGCCTGGAAGAGAAAGCTGATATTCTTCATTAAAGGCATTCTGTGGTCACATGCATACAATGAATCAGAAATGCTTTCCATTAAAGAAAATATGACTTTAGAGTTGGGGTGGAACAGCAGTATACACACTGCTTTAAGCTCCAGTAAGTCTATGATATTTTCATAGAAGATTTCCTGATGTTGGCCCTAGCTCTTTGAAACATGTTTGTTTCTTTATTTTACCTTGCTTGTCAGGTGTGTGCACTGATTTTTTAATAGAAGAAAAAACAATGATGCACTTGCATTATGTTCCTAACAGATTATAAATGGTCGATTGGCAGAATAAACAAGGGAATAATGAATCTATTGATGTATTACAGCATGCTATTTGCAAGAAGGGTTTTCTACCATATTTTAATATCTAGAAAAATATCGACAATAATTGATTATGACACCAGTGCACTTGTTCTTTCAAGTACTACAGGTATATTGTCATTCTGCAGTGGTCTTGTCTTTGTCTTTTAAGCTGGTATGTTTAACAGCTCTTCTCGTAATGCTGTGTGATGTATCACTTAAATTTGCAGCAATCTTGTGAAGTTCCTCATGCCCTCATACTAATATGTTGGTTTGAATATGAAGAAAAGACAGAATGAAATACAAAATGAGGCAGCAATTTGTCAGCATTGGCAGCCGTGAAAATGCGTTTTAAAGCAGCATAAAACAGAGGGGGATTCAATTTCTCAAACCTGTAGTACCATTCAATTTCTTAATGAGTAGAACAGCTGTATTCCTGCCACAGAGTGACTTCTACTCAACCTTGCCAGCACAACTTTTGTCTCTGACTTAGAAGGGTTTTCTTGCCAGCAAATGTCTTCACAGCCTATTTATAATATGGCCACACATGCAGTTTAGGTTTGTTTTACGTACACTTTCAAAAAAAAAAAAAAAGAATAATTAAATAAATCAAAAGGTGCTACTTTTTTCAAGACTTGTTTCTTGAAATGCAGCTTCTGTGTTTTCTCTTTCTATCAGGTTATCAGGGAGATGCTGCATGAAAGTATTTTAGTTGTTGAAGATCTTGTTGCTGAACATTTTAGTTTTTCTCTTTAAACTGCTAACAGTGGATGCAGGAGGAAAAATAAGTGTATTTGTAGCCTTGCCTATTGGGTATTTAAGTGATAGAACCACTTCCTTACACTTCAGTAAATACTGTGAAAATGTTAACATTTCTTTAAAAAGTTATTTTTTCAAAATATTTGTTTTAAATATGTCATTAGGAGATCTTGCTCTGCAGACACTGGGAAGTCTTAGTAGAATTTCATTATAGCCACTTGTGAGACTGTTATACAAGTAATAAATCAATCTGAAAAAATATTGATTGCTTTCGTAGAAATATTACATGTAGTTACACCATATGTGTTATTTAGACATTTATAAATGCTAGATAACGTAACATGTTATGGCTATTGGGTTTTTTTTCCCCTCTCCTGACAAATTTGTTTTTCATATGTTCCTGTGGTTTATTAAGGTTTTAAGTGGCATAGCATGTATATGTGTTCAAGGGAGCAGCTTTTATAGAATACATTCGAAATATTGAAGAATAATGCATGGGAGGCATTATCATCCTATATGAAATCTGTAGATAACTCCATTTTTTTCATTTTTAATGCCACTTAAAATGAATTTTTCTTTCTTTCTGCTGAAGATGGTACCCCTTAGCAACATCTTCTAATCAAACAAAAGTTAAGTAGGGAACATGAGAGCTTAGTTCATGTTTTTGTCTTAATTGGGATTACTCTGTCTTTCTTTCCTTCTTGGCTATCTTTACTTTTGCAGGAGTTCACCATTTTGGCTGTAAGTAAAGTTCAGTGTCTGAACTAAATCACAATGTACCTCCCAGCCCTGATGCACCTTCTGCTAGTCTCAGTCTTTTCACCTTTGTCCAAGAAGAACCCACAGGTCCTTTCAGCTTCTCTTTGTTTTCTTTGTCACCCACCCCCAGTTCCTTACTGGATGTTTTCTCCTGCTATGTTTAAGGACGTTTTCTTTGACTGACTCTGGGAAATGGTGGAGGAAACTTTCAATGTTGTTAATTTTTTTTTGTACTTTTTATTTAATCTGTGAAAGTAATACTGTTACTGTGGCACTGGACATTCAATAATAAGAATGCCATGTCATGTAAGCAAGTATTAAACTTCAAATGCTTCTGTAACTTATACCTACTCCTTCCTCTTTTCCCTTGCTCTTATCCTTGGCCTAATGGATGCAGTTTTGATAATGTAGCGAGATTTTCTGTTGTGCTTGATCTAACCATGTGGTTGTGAGGTATGAGTAAAACATGGTTCTGTCAAGCACCATGGAACGTCACGCAGCTTTCTACAGCATGGCAAGCTGCTGAGGCTTAAGTCAGGATCACACATTTTTTAAATTAAAGCTGAAAACAGGGCTTTCAATCTTACGTGTTTGAGATGATGTGGGGTATCAGGACTGTAAAAAAAATGACAAAGGTTAATGAAGTCCAGTCAACAATACAAATTTGTAATAAGAGAAAGAGAAAAGGTGGCATTCAGGATCTATTTATTCTTGATACAGAGAAAGAAAATAAATTCTAAAAGAATCAGTGGCATTTGTGTGATTAGCTATAAACAAGGCTAGATTGGCTGACAGCATAATCAGCAGAAAGTACAGCTGTGAAAAGCTCGAGTTAATGTTATCCTGTTATGTGAAGTTGGTCACAGTTTCTTTTTCCAGCATATCTTAAGCCCCTATATTTAACCCTCTCTTAAAGCCCTTGTGTCTGTTCAGTATCACAAAGTTTATCATGCATTTCCTAAGTTGTCCACCCGTTATCTGCATTGCAGACATCTTTTCAACCTTCTCACAAGAAGCAAATATCTTATATTTTATTAGCTCAATATCTGTATTTTGGCTTGACTCTTCCACAGGCACTGAAGATTACAGGTCCAAACTAAGTGGAGACTGCTTTGCAGATTTGGCTTGCCCTGAGAAATGTCGCTGTGAAGGGACTACAGTGGACTGCTCCAATCAGAAACTCAACAAAATTCCTGATCACATACCCCAGTACACAGCGGAGTTGTAAGTTGAACCCATAATAAATCATTATTTACCTATATAAAATCTAACTAAGATCTTCAAATATAAAACTGCAGCTTTAATTTTTTGAACAAAAATGAAACGTAACATCTGTGGGTGTGCTTCAAAGGACTAGATATTAATAAAAAATATTTATGCATCATTTCAGTACCACATAGACTTGAAAATGTATGATGAGATAAATAAATAAGGTAACTGTTCTGTGTGTCTAGTTCTTCAGCACATAAGCTACCCTCTTGGATTTTTTTGGAAGATAGTGATGTTTATTTAGCTTTTTATTCTAACTACAAGAGCAAATAGGACATCCAGTAACCAGAGGTCTGTCTTTAGAAGTAGAAGTGCCACCTAGGCATTTAATAAAACAGAGCTGATTCTTTTTATGGAAAACACACATTATATTTGTCAGGAAGGAGACCAGAGGAAGATAAAGCAGACAAACAAGACAGAGCTGGGTTAAGAAGATAATAATATAATGAACAGAGATGAGCAGAAAAGAAGTCACAGATTATTACTTGCTTAGTAAGTTCTATATTGGAATGATTTGTAGGCATTGCAACTGAAGCAGTCTTCAAGGAGTGATTGAAAGACAAAATTAAGACAGCTTTACAAGCTTTCCCATGTGCAATGTACAGTATGAAAGGAAACACAGAGATGCTTGAAGGATCAGCAGAAAGGCAGCAGATGAAAGTGGCCATCATCAGCAAAGCAAAGGCAGGAGGAAATAGGAGATTCAGTTTAAAGAACAAGACAGAATGCTGAGGGACAAAAGAGAGGGTCTTTTATTTCATGTAGTAAAGCAGGGACCAAGATGTAAAGACAAGAGTACTGTGATCAAGTTGTGACCCACAGGGGTGAGATGAGCAACGGTATGGCATATCCCTTCAAAAGATGATCAGTCTGCAGCTGGCATCAAAGCAACGGTACAGTGAAGATATGAAATAATGAGACCGTGGTTAAGGATTTTGAGTATCTGAAAAGGAATTTGAAACTGGAATATTGTGTAAATAGAGATGGAGATTTTTGTCTGTCTCTGAGCTGGGAGAAGGAGTTGAATTTAGTGATGTTCTAATTGCAAATCTGAGTTGTAATTCTAGTTGTGCTCAGAATGATGACAAATATGATTGAAAAAGTGGCCAATATGGTAAAAGCAAAGCTCAGCTTTTGGCCATGCTCATGTTTTTGATTTAATGTTCGTAAAATAGTGCCAGAGATACTGATACACGGTCTTGGGTAAAGGGATGTAGATTTCAGCAGATAAATACTTTTTATCTTATGCTATAATATTTTGAGATAAAATTACTTTAATCGAAGTATAGAAACTGATAGAATGGGTATCAGGTTAAAGTGTAGGAGGACAGCAAAAAGTAAGCGTTGGAAAGATCATAGTTACAGAACCAAGAAATGAGTTGTTGAAATGATAGGCATGCATTGTCTTTTTCCTTAGCAGAATTCATATTTAATTCTCTCTTTTCTGAAGCAATAATAATCTTACTTTAGTGTTTTAATTGTTGTTTTTCATATTCACTTATTTACATGTGGAAGATAAACTCTCAAGTGTTTTCTTTCTATAAAATTGTGATTCATACATATTGAATTCAGAAAAAACAATTAAATCATCAAGCCTCATCTGCTGTGTATCCTAAACTCTCAAATTTCATTCAACAAAAAAATGGTGTTTGACTAAAACGTAATCCATATTTCATTACAGTTTTTCTTTTAGAAAATATCCAGTCTTGTTTGAAGTTACCAGTGGATTAAAAATCCACCATTTCCCTGAGAATGTTACAGAAGTTAATTGTCCCCATTTCTGTTAAAATCTTTTAAAATATGAACTTTTACCTCCAGATGGAATATGCCTCTCTTTAGTTTCCATCATCACTTCCTTTATGTTTTTTGTCATTTTCTATCCAACACTTTAGCTAAGTAAGAAGGTCTTAAACTGTGACAAAGTTCAACCTTCTTCCTGATAAATTGGACAGATTGTTCTTCAAGTCTTCTGATGTAATAGAAATGTCAACAGCGTTGCAAGGGATAGAGGAATTATTTTTGCATTTTTTTTTACATTCTCTAAAAACTGAGTTGTTCTAGATAAATACAGGCTTTTGGTATTTGCCTTGCTGATGCAAAAGTTACAGCTCTTTCTCTTGTTTACTCCTGTTATTCCTGGTCTTAAACGCACTGCTTTTGTTACTCCTCTTGGCACTTGCCAGTCTAGTTCTAGGACCACTCTGTGATTTCCAGTTCACAACATTCACTGTCATATATGAGAGTAGCAGCTAGTTAGCATTTCTTTTCTTTTACCCACAAATTTGAGATAAAGGTTCTTGCTACAGTCAAATAACATTGATACTTCTGTAACAGTGATGAGGAAGGCTCAATTATTTTCTGCAGGGAGTTGTTTGGAGCTGAAACTCAGCTTGGAAATGGAGATCAAAAGTGAAGAAAAGAGTATCAATTGTGTGGATTGCAACAATAATAATATCGCATCAAAAACTGTTTCTTCAGAGTAGTTGTTTTTCAAAAAAATCTGAAAATAGTAATATAGTTCAAGACAGATACTTAATTGTAAATGGTGAAGGAATTTACAAAGGAGCCAGGTGCTGTTTTAACTGCTTCTATTTATTTCAGTTATTTCATAAATGCAGCCTAGAAATAAAATATTTTTCAAGTAGCATTCTAATATATGGGAAAATTCAGGAAGCATTTGATAAATTACTCAGAATCCCCAGGAGGAGCACTAAGTAAAAACAATTGCAGTCTTTCATGTTCAATTTTTGTAATAATTTTACAATAGCTACATAATATCAGATCCTAACAAGACAGTTTTTGAAAGCATGGATATCCGTGCAGTAAATAGCCTTCCACAAAGGTTCAGCTATTTCACCAAAACCTGTGAATATCTTACCCATTGTGCTAATAAAACAGGAGAAAATATCAGATAAAACAAAGAAACAGAATGCAGGGGGCCAGTTAGCTCGGTTGATTGAGCGTAGTACTGATAACACCAAGGTCACGGGTTCGATTCCCGTTCGGTCCCCATGTGTTGCCTGATCTAGTTGAGACGTGGCGTGCCTGCCCACGACAAGGAGGTTGGATTAAATGATTTCTAAGGTCCCTTCCAGCCTAGGCCATTCTATGATTCTATGTTTCAACATTATCATCAAATGCTGCTTTGTTTACTTTTTTTTGGTTTGAGAATGACATTTGGTACTTTTCTTTGAATAATTCAGTTGCAAATATTTTTAAGATCATTTTCATGATCCATTCATTGACAGGCAACAACTACCATGATTGTGCTTACTAGTAAAGAGCACTGGGCTCAGAAAATATGATCTAGATGATAAGATCTAGAAGGAAGATAATGACTGCATATGTTAATTTTCCCATCATCTGCAATAATTTTGATTCCTCTATATGTGGCATCACTTACCATAATAGAATGAAAACATAAGTGTTTAACAATTCCAGATCTAAAGCCAGCGATCTCCAGCCATAGAAATGCCATGAGATCCATGTGGTCATTCCTCTAATCACAAACTCATAACTTTTATCTCTTGATGTCCCTGTACTTGTGCATATACGTTCAGTGACATGTAATATCACCATATACACAAAGTTAGAGAAAAGGTATGATTTGTGCTACAGTTTTAACCAAACACAGTACAATGATTCAACCCATGATTCTTTTCCATAGAGAAGTATGGAGAAACTTCTCAAACACCAAAGATTTACAGAACACATGGAAATTTCTTAGAATTGCTCTGTAATATTGATAGTAGACTAAGACTATTTTAAATACAATAAAAATTCAGATTCTGCATATGACATTAGGTAGCACCAATTAGCACCAGAAATATAAGACTGAGGAATAACCAGCAAGTGGTGGCTATGGTGGTGTTATCATACACATTAAAGATGAAGAAGTGCTGTTGGACACTGCTACAAATTTCATTTTGGGATGTATGTACAGGAGTGCAGTAAGTTATGTGAAATAATTTTTTTACTGTACATAACAACAGTTAAGTATCAGCTGGAATACTGTGTCAAGGACTTCACTTTTCAAGATTAATATGATTCATTTGGAAAAAAATTCAAGGATAAGAATCATCTAGAAAAGAAGACTTCTGAGGAAAAACTGAAAAGATGCTTTCTGTACGAAAGAGACAAAGTCTATTTTTTTTAATGTGTAAATGTTGAAAAAGGAAAAGGATCCAATTGTTTGCCTTCTTCATTGGGGTTAGAAATGTTTGCAGAAAAGGACAGCAAGGAATTAGAATTAAAATCCAAAAATATTTTCATAATTAAGTCAACTTACCCCATGGTATAGCACTTGAAAAGCATTTGGAAACGTCAGCATTTATGGAACACTTGGTGCTTCTGTTGCTGATGGACAGGGGAAAAAATGCTGTTTACAGTGATGAATTAACTTTGTTAACTGATACTATGCAAAAATTCATTTGAAATGGTCCCACTAAAAATTACATTAGGTCATTCAGCTGATTTTCAGAGGTGGTAACATCTTTCAAATTCATGTTCCTTGTACTTCAGTGTGGTATACAGATGTTCTGTGTATATCCAAAAAACTCTTCCTGTCTTCTCTCAGTTTGGTTCCATGCTGAAGCTATTTTACAGCCATACCTTCAGATTTACAACCTTAATTTCCCTTCTGGCTATCATTGAGAATGAGCAGGAAGGAAGGATGAACAAACTGCTTTCTTTTATTTTCAAACGTTTTTTTAATCTTGTCTTGCAATAAGGCAATTCTGAGAAGCAGAGTGCTAAATTACATTTCATGCTGATCTTGTCAGTTGTCTCTTTTCCTTCTTATTTAAGATCTCTAAATAAAAGTTGGACAGACTCCCTTATTTAATAAGATGACTCCATTAAAACTTAGAAAAAAATCTAAGACTCACAATTTCCGTTTTCTTTTCAAGAGAGGAAATAGGAAATACTGGATCAATGCAGATATTTTCTGAAATATAGATGGTCCCCTAATCTAGCACTTGCTAAAGGTATTCTATGCTGGAATGGTTTCGATAACTGGGTGGCTGGTATTTGTTGCTCATTGTATATTTTGCTGTAAGTGTTGCAAAGCAGCATTTAACGTTTCCTTACACAGCATATGTACGTTAGATGTAGTGGTCTGAAGATAAATCGTGGTCAGAGAAGAGTTTTTAAGGTCTTGTGAAGATCTATGCAGTATGTTTCATTCCTTATTCAAAAGAAGCACTGAGCATAAAGTAATTATTTCATTCTTGTGAACAGTGTTCTCTGAGCACCTCCAGATGTCTGGCAGACCCCACCCGTTATCCTTTAAAGAACAGTAAACTAATCTTCAGTAGTTTATATGTACTTCTTAAAGACATTTATTTAGAAGTTGCTATGGAATCCTTCCTTAGTTACATTTTTGTTTTCCTTCCCTTAAAAAAAAATTAAAACCATCTTCTTAAATTTCTCTGCAGTTTTATTTGTATGGTATTTTGTGATCTGGTTTTAATTCTGCATGTCTTACATATGCCTAGGTTTAACTAATTAGAATGTTCATTCACAGAAATTACCAGAATTAGAAATGTCAGTATATGTGGAGTTGTTCTTCAGCTACCAGTTAAACACCAGTTATTCAGTTAAACCAGTCTGAAAAGTTCCATACAAATGCCTAAATATTTTTTTCTGAAATTGATGTAATTTTTTGCAGGCGACTAAATAACAACGAATTTTCAGTCCTGGAAGCTACTGGAATCTTTAAGAAACTTCCTCAGCTGCGTAAAATGTAAGTGCAACTTCAGTAAGCTTGTCTATTTGGATAGCACGTTAGCTCCTTGCTGTGTTTCTCCAGCTTTCTTAGTTCATATCTATAAAAATTCACTATATTTTAATCAAAGATCAGGAATGGCTTTACGTTTATCACTGAGGTAGTTCAGAGTTGGCAGCTCTTCCCTGTGAGACTAGGCACCGCCCACAACTTCTCCTGGTGTGTAGCTCTGGCACCTTCACGGCAGTGTCCAGCCAGCTGGGCTGCGACACAGCTACAGCAGGGAGCTCGCAGTATAAGCTGCTCAAAAAAGGTCCCAGTAATCTTTTGTAACTTCATGTACTACTCCCTAGCCAGGCAATTTTGCCTCTTTCAGCACATTTAAGACATGCCTTTGATTCTGTGCTTCATTAAACTGTCATTAGATTAGGGGAATATCAAAATTAAATGACTGAGAAAAAAATGGTTTGATAGCTCATCCATGTAAGCCCATGTTCACAGTTCATGTTCTATGAGTTTATAATCTTACCAGTTGCAGTTGTTATTAAAAATAAATCTATGAAAAGCTTTTGTTTCACTTATGTAAAAGACATATTTGAGCGTAGGTGATTTAGTTAGACTCAGTGACTTTGTGCTCAATCTTTTCAGGATTAAATCCAAACATAAATAGTAAATTAAGAAAAATGCAAGTAAAAATAGCTCTGGGTAATGAAAATGATGCACTACTTTGTAGTCGCCAAGTTACTACCATTTGTAAAACATCTGTCTACATTACTAATGACAAAAATCTCAAGGGAAGAAATAGTATTATTAAAATTATTGTTAGCTTTATCCAGATCTTTACTGGCAGCTGTCATAATCACATTTAGTTAAATACTTACTATTGATTTTTTTTTTAGTTAGTAGACAAAGATTTAAAAAAACATTCAAAACCAATTTTGCTTTTGACCTATCCACTTGAGTACAGCTCACCTCTTTGGATTGGGCTGAGAGGCTTAAGAATGTAGGAAGGTCTGGCACAACAGTGTTCTGGTGCTATATAGTAGATACCCGGTTTTCTTCATTACTCAAGGGTCTCAGATTATCACTTTTTACAGCTACAGAGCGCCTTTGAAATAAATAAAGTACCTGATGTGGCATGCTTACACGTGCACACACATGTATCAGTTCTTCATATTTAAGAAAGACAATTGAAAGGGAATATAGCGTCAGCAATTACATATTTTCAGGCTATAAAGGTAGCTTAGTAAACATTTCATGTAATCTAAAGCTAGATTGCTGCTTTTTAATTGAGGAGGAACTGTTCAAGGTGAAAGAAAGAAAAAGAGGAATATTAATCAGTCTCAGTGTAGCTGTCTGCTGGAACTCCCAAGAGCTTTGAAATCTGGATAATTGAGGAGGGACAAAATTGAGAAAATGTTAATAAAAAGTTAACATTTTTAGTAGTACTGCTCCGTGCCTTCCTAATGTAGTTATCAGCTGTTACAGCATTCTTCAATTCAGAGAATAATACAGTGACTGGTTAAGCATTGTTGGAAAGCAGTGAGATAGTGATGTTACAGACACCAATATGAGTGAATTCTGTATTATTGTGGAACTCATATTTCTTCTGGAGGTTCAAATAGGTGCAAAGGTCTTTCTGCACAGATGACATTGAAAAATTGGGACCTAAATGTTTAATTGATTTGATGGTTCATCAGTAATAATGCACATGTATGCAGTGCATCATTGATTAGCTCTGCAACATTAATCCTTAAAACATCTCTGTGAGGTGACTGAAGTAGTATCCTTGTTACACCAGAAATGAATAAGGTTTTAGAAGACTAAGGGTTTGACATGGATAAGCCAGCTGAGAAATAATGAGTTTCTTGCAGAACCTTACAGGAGACTGAACAACTCCACTGTGAAACTAAATTAAATCATTGATTGTGGATGTTGTCCACCTGGCTTTAGTAGAGCCTTTGATGCCATTTGGAATTAAATCATGGTATTCTCCAGGGCTCAGTATTGGGACCACCCTTGTTGAATATTTTTGCCAATGATCTGGATGAGATGGTTGAGTGCACCGCCAGTAAGTTTGCAGATGACACCAAGTTGGGCAGGAATGTTGAGCTGCTTGAGGGTAGGAAGGGTCTACTGAGGAATCTGGACAAGCTGGATCGATGGGCTGAGGACAATTGCATGAGCTTCAACAAGACCAAATGCCTGGTCCTGCTCTTGGGTCCCAACACCCCCAGGCAGTGCTACAGGCTAGGGGAAGAGTGGCTGGAAAGTTGCCCGAGCTTCACTTCATTGTAGGTTATCTCAGGGCATTTTTAAGAGTATTTTAAAAATCACTAGCGTATTGTAACGCTGTTTAGTGTGTAGATATATATTTCTGTAATATGTGTAAATAATTATGTGAAACAAACAAAAGGCAGCAAGAATAATACAAGAAATCTTTAAGATAATGTGTTGTTGTTGAGTTCGTATGCTTTTGTATATGTAGTGCAGATAGTACCCATTTGGGATGTAATTTCTATATTTCAACTAAAAAACATAAACACTAAATATTTTGGCAGTATTTTAGGTCATTTTCCCACACTTTGATCTGCTTTGCATGCAAATTGCAGATAAATCATCTATCTTGGTTATAAACTCTGCTTTTTAACTAATACCGTAAATGATTAACATTTCACATACTGTTTATATTCACACATTTAATTTACATATGTTGCTGTTTGTGCTGTTTTCTTATATTTGTGTCTAACAAAATGGAATAAAGAATTTGATTGGTTAGTTGTGCTGGTACTTACACTGCATCATTTTGTTACTAATTCAAAAAATATACAGTCACTGTCAAGATTCAAAGTTATAAAAAATGTTCTTGTGTGGCAGCAGCATGGACTGGGTAATTGCCATTATTAAAAAAACACATTCCAAAGATTGCTTTACTTCTTTAGGTAGCACGGTATTGCATTTTGTTTTTCTTGATTTGAACAATATATTCTTTGCTTTTACACAACAACTCAATATCTTGAAATCTATGCAGTCTTCAGCATTTAACAGTTAATTCGCAGTGTTTAAAAAAGAAAACATGCTTTTCTCTGTTTCTGTTAATGTGTAATAGAAACCTGAGCAATAACAAGATTACAGATATCGAAGAAGGAGCATTTGATGGAGCCTCTGGTGTGAATGAGCTGTTGCTCACCAGCAACCGTTTGGAAAGTGTTCGACACAAAATGTTCAAAGGACTAGAAAGTCTCAAAACATTGTAAGTGTAATTATTTGGGTGGTTTTTTAGTCTTCCTTTCTGATAAGTATTTTTTAAAGTTGTATTCTAACTGTTCAAAAAATATTTCTGAGGGTTAGCTATGGATTATTCATTCCTATTTTAAAAAAGGATAGACTGGATGATCTTTCGAGGTCCCTTCCAGTCCCTAACATTCTGTGATATGGATTCATTAATTGTTTATTATGGATATAATGTAGCTGAATTTTTTGTTGTGGTTACTTGACTACAGAAATTATGACTCCTCTAAAATGTTGAAGTAGAGAATGGGTAAACATCCAGCTGCAGAAAAGGAAATAGGAATAATCATCTGCTTCAAAATAACAGAATTTTGCACGAGAATTACACGTTGTGCATAATGGAGTCTGATTCAATTCAGCTCAACCGTTACTGGGAATTTTGCTAGAGGAAAAAATGATTCTGGTGGATATTGAAATGTGGGAAATTATTCTCTCCTGAATAATTTTAATGTCATTTCAACAGTGAAAAGAGGAGTAAAAGCACTATAGCTTGAACTCATTTCATTCTTTCCATGAAGGCAGTTTAGCTCTTTTCATTTAAAAAAAAAAAAAAATGTTTATACAATCACAGCTTCTTGGCCTTCTTCACACAGCCTGTCCTTCTGATCAGCAGAGCATAGCCAGGATTTAAATGTCTTTGGGGCTTCATCTGTCCATAGACATTAGGTATTTTTAATACATCAGGCAATCTTTTCTAACTTTGCACTTAAAGCTGCTAAAATTGTTAGAAAAATACCCTGTTCTTAGCCAACATCCTGAGGAAAAAAATATTCATTTATTGATGGATAGATAGGATAACAGCAAACTTCAAAGCTCACATTTTACAGAAATACAAGAGATTTTACAATAGGTGTTTCTTAGTCTTGTGAAGTTTTTACTAAATCTTAGAGTCGTGCTGCGGAGGAGTCAGGGTAGCCTGATTTCATTCGCTTGAAGTGCTTGAGAATGTATTAGAAGTGGCTTCTAGAATGTCTCCTAAGAAAATTCAGATGGATGGGGCCTCAGGGGGAGGTCAACTGGTACAACCTCTTTCTTCATGTCAGTTGTGGTTCTGGAGTCATTATGCTTGGAAGCACAAAGAGGAGGCTGCTGTGTATCTCGGAGTTGGAGATTTTTAGTCAATTTAATTTCTTGTCAATTAACAAACTTTTAATTACCAATTCTGGTATTGAAAGGGGAAAAAAACTCACAAATGCTAAGGGGAAACACCCCTCTTGCCTCTGTGAAAACCTACTTATTCATCTTTCTGTTCTGCAGTCCCCTCCACGCACACTGCACTCAGCCCCCTCAGGGAGGTGACAGGTGGCACAGGGCTCACTGCCCTGGTGGTTCCTCCAGCCGTAGCAGCCCCTTTGGAGTCATTCCTTTCAGCCCCTGCTCGGGCTACACTAAGAAATGCTGATCCTTCCTTTCTCAGGATGCTGAGGAGCAACCGCGTGAGCTGTGTGGGAAACGACAGCTTCACGGGCCTGAGCTCAGTCCGCCTGCTCTCGCTGTATGACAACCAGATCACCACCGTGGCGCCCGGCTCCTTCGATACGCTGCATTCGCTCTCTACGTTGTAAGTCACGTTAGTGTTTTACCTTACCCAAGTTTAAACCTCTCAGGTTTTGGGGACATGTCTGTTAATGGCTTACTGTATAATTCCACTGCATGAGGTGAGTTTAAGGGGAAAGACTTCACAGAGGGATTTTTGAGAAAGTCTGTTTTCTGGACTATCTTGAATGCATGAAGATTATGTTTTCATGGAGAGTATGTTTTCGTGGTGCCCTTCGATGCAGCACTAGATTGGTTTCCAGAAGCTCCTGAGAAGGCAGGAAAAACATCCTGCTCACTTCCCTTGCAGAAGCCCACTGATCTCAGCCAGGGTAGAAAGCTACGTTTTGGGTAGGCATCACACAATCACAACTGGTTGAATCACCATGTTGTGTGTCTTTCTACCCTGTACCGTCCAATTATTATCTTAAATTTCCTCAGTCTACTGAGGATCTTAATTCAGAGAAGTTTTAGAATGAAACGTTAGTCTCATTTTCTGTAAAAAGAAGCATCCTTTTTTTTTTATTTAAATGTGATGTAATTTAAGGAAAGGGAAAACAGTGAGCCAAACTGCCACTCAATTTACTGAACAAATGCTTTTTGTAGGTAGCATTATTCAGGGAAGTACTTAAACCCCTTTTTACATATGAAGTGACACTTTGCACCAAGTGACTAATTTGTGCATATTAAGGATGACATGTGTATAAATAATGGAATTGTCGATAGGTTTGTGCTGAAATAAGGAGATGCTAAAAGTAGTGAGACTTCTAGAAGTAAATTCATTTTTATAACTGGCATGTAATCACCTTAGCTGTCACTTCAGATAGGAAACTTATTCTCTGGAGGAAATAAAAGATGGAAATCTTGAGATGACAAATTAATGGAATAGCTGTTGTCAGGTTGAAGCTAATAATGTAAAGTAATCAGCCTTCATCTCTATATGAAATTATTGCATTATCAGTGCAAAGTGACTTGACAACAACTCAGGTCTTTGACATTTTTAAATTATTTCTAAACGAGTTATATCAAGATTCACCACAGAGACCCTAAATTACAGCTTTTACTTATGGTTTGTACATAGTATTGTTTGAAGAACAGTATATAAGCTTAGCTTTTTGAAAATAGAACACTCACGATAAAAAAATGCTCTTATCTGAAGTTAACTTCCCTGTGGTTCTCAGAAACCTCTTGGCCAATCCCTTCAACTGCAACTGCCATCTCGCGTGGCTTGGAGACTGGCTGAGGAAGAAACGCATCGTGACCGGGAACCCTCGCTGCCAAAAACCCTACTTCCTCAAAGAGATTCCCATCCAGGACGTGGCAATTCAGGATTTTACTTGTGATGATGGTAGGAAAAATAATATTTGTACTTTTTGTGATTTCAGCTTTCATATGTGCAGCTGCATGATTCTCATAGATCCCAAAGTGTTATACTTTAAATTGCTTCATCTGCACCTCATGCTCAGTTTCTACATCAGTTTAAAAATCTTCCATGCATTTTTGGATCAACAGTGTGCACAAAGCTATTATATATATGCTTTTAGAAGTTTTTCATGCCTATGTACTGTAAATCATAATTTAGAGATAATATAGAAATTAAATAAATTGATCAAAAGTTGTAGTTCAGTTTATAATATTTTCAAATACTGATGCTTGAATCATGCATTTTTTCATGTTATTTGATCAAATAACATGCCATTTTGCTTAGTTTATGACTTCTTCAATACTTACTTTAAAAAATATCTGCTATCTTGCACAACTCTCACACATGCTTCCATTTATTACATTATTAGTCAATTTTCAAGGCTTTAATTTTTCTTTGAAGAGACTTAATTTTTAATAATTTGTTAATTTTGAAAATCAACACATCCTTTTCTTCTTTATTGTCTTTCATTGTAGATTGTGTTCTTTCATTATTTTTTTTCCGTCTGATAGCACTTTTCCCTAGTAAAACAGCATTGCTCTAAAGCCTCCCTTGAAATGTAAATTCACAGAGCAATGGCTTACCGAGATGACTTAATGTTTTTCCTACCTAGAGATACCCTAATGTAGAAGTGTGACATTTGCTTATAGGCATTTCAGGTGGGGTAATATTGCTAATTCCCGAGTGCCATTTGTACAGCAACCTTAGCATCTGCTTGGTTTTATTAACCAGGGAATGATGACAATAGCTGCTCTCCGCTGTCCCGCTGTCCTGCAGAATGCACTTGTCTAGACACAGTAGTTCGCTGCAGCAACAAAGGCCTGAAAGCTTTGCCCAAAGGCATCCCAAAAGATGTAACTGAACTGTAAGTGGCACACTTCTTTCGCTTTTATGATAGTCAATGTCAGATTTATAATGTCACATTCAAGAATGAGGGCAGAGGAAAATGAAGAATTGGATTCGGTAGATCAGTTGAACTTCATTAACATACTGCTTTATAGATATAGAGACTCGCTGAGTATCTTTAGAAATTTGAGGCTAAGTTTGAATTAGCAATGCCCTGTAAGTCCCAAAACACTCTAAGAACTATCTCTAACTGACAAGCTTTAAAGTATACGTACATAAAATTGTAATCACTCAGAATTTGTATCCCCAACACTGAATTGTTGTATCGTTGAACAAGGGTATCATGTTATGGTGGGTTAAGTTATGGACAACAGTAAATCTGATGAATCTGTGGTCTCTGTCTAGGAACGAAGGAAGGAGGTGATTACATGAAAAAGCAAAAAGAAAGCAATCTATTAATAGTGTTTTTGTATTTTCATAGTAAATACGGGTTTGTAATATTTCAAAAAACAGTTTTAATATAGTCTCACTGTCATATAGGCAGTCTTACACAATCTGGGATATTTTATTAATTTCTTTATATATTTTTACGTGAGAAAAATGGTTAAGATTGCATTTTATGAAATAATTTGAATATGCAGATGGACAATAACATTGATATAAAAAAAGAGCTTACTACCTCATGCATTGTTTAAAGTCAATAACTGAACAAGCTACTCGTAAGATTAGATGAGTCAATTTTCATGCATTATGAAGGGGAAAATATAAACATGAAAATTGGGTTGTTCGTCTGTTTTGAATCTTGATCAGATAGGTCACAAAATTTAAAAAAAATAAATAGAATTTATTTACAAGAAATAAAGTTGGGTTTTTGTTATGTATGGCAAGTATTTAATATTAAATTACTAATGCTTCATAATGACTGATTAATGTTGTGCTTTTTCTCAAGACATCACAACTGTGTATCTTAAGTCACTGAAACATTTTTATTATTTTATTATTTGGTATTATGGAGAATATTTAGAAATGTCCACCACTAGTTTGGTGCTTAAGAGCATCTGAAAGGCTTTAGTCATTAATAAAGAGAAATTATTAAGAACTCAAATTAACACAGAGCTATATAAACCTATAAATTACTTCATTAGGTTTTTGTTTTTTCTTGAATAAAAGATGACTTAATTAAATATAGTCTGGCCTAATATGTTCAGTTTTACAATGTAAGGGCATCAGTGCAATGTAGAATTAAGCAGTTGAAGAGAGATACTTTTGGAATTGCAAGTGGAACCCTGAGTGTGACTGAAAACTCATTTGTATACAATTTTGTATGCTTTAATTAGTGTCTAAGCATGCAATTTAGCATATTTTTCAAAAGGATAATGGAGGTGGTTCCTGGTAGCAGTTGCATACTGATTGATTCCTGTTGTTCATTAGCATGCATAACCCTTCCAAGATGCGTTTTGTAAAATATCTTAATTCTTGCTCCATTTGAACAAGGAGGAACTTTTATCAGCCAAGTGGATACAAATAGTAATTCAGTTCTAGTGAGGCTAAAGCAATTTATCTGTCGATAAAAGAATTTTCTCAGAATACTTACTCCTTCAAAAAGTTTAACTACGATTGGTTTCTTTTTTTAATAATTCACCACCATTTATATAATGCCATTAACATAGTGCAAGCATAAAAGTTGTTGAGACACGTATTTCTGTTTTGGCAAGCAGCCTTAAGGAAGGCATGGTCCACGGGGAAAAACAAAACAAAACAAACAACAAAAAAAGAAAAAGCCTTTTTCCTAGATGTTGTTAGTTTTTTCATTATGTTATTAACAGCTCATCCATTTTTTCAAGACAAAAGGTTCCAAAGGTGTTGCAGCATACTTAAAAGACATTAAGCTCAAAATTAATCTAAAAATATCTGTGTCAGGCTGTTCTTCAGTGTACTTCAACTATTCAGATTGCTAAAATATCTTCTTTGTATAGGGGTATTCATCATGAGGGCATAGTTTTTACTGGGCTTCCAGGAGACATAAGTAATACCGACATAATAACACCATCAGCAACTCATTTGCCTCAGTTGAGAAACAAAGACCTTTAATCTTCCTGCCACTGTCTGCTCTGTTTCAGAGAATCAAGTAAATTCTGGACTTCTTACCATCACTAAACTACTGTCTCTGGTTACACGAAGAGCCCTCTCGCTGGCACTTTTTCAGGAGTGGCTGCACACTGGCAGCTTTTTAGGCAAGGCTTGTTACATTTCTTGCCTGTAACTCAGGTGCCGATGCAGTTTGATGTCTCTGTGCCTGTTACAGTCTAAGGATGAACAAGTCTGTAATTGAGAATTATGAGCGTGGAAGAAGAATTAGCAGTATAATACAGGAGCTCTAAGCCCAAAAAGGCAAATATAATATCTGACTTTACTAATGAAAGGTAATTGATTAAAGTCTCTATCCATAGCATATTCCGGAGGAACAGGCTTGTAGTACGTCGTGCCCGAGTTATCCTGAAATACATAAGGAGAAATTAGGGAAGGTGACCTGAACTGCAGGCATGACAAATGAATTTGCTGTTAGACCTGGGACCAGCCTGTGCTGTTTGTACTGTAAAGGACTATCCCTGCAATGTCAGGGTCTGTTTCTACTTATGATAGATCAAAATCCACACTTAATGGGACTTGAAGAATTAGGGTTTACTTTTCACCTGTAGGGGGGTGTGAAATGGAGATGATAAAAACCTAATTTTGCAGAGTGTTTACAAAATAATAGAAAGTACTATACAAGAGTTGGTTATTAATAATGTTACTTCATATTATTCATAATATCTGGTACAATAGCATTTTGATTTTAGACTACAGGTCCTTAGTTGTGTCTCAAAAAAGAAAAGCAAGGTTTCTTACAAAAGGGAAATAGTATGTGTTCATACGTTATTATCTTTACTGTTGGATTTTAAGATTAGTGGATGAAGATGCTACTATTTTAATGAAAAACATAACAGTCTGTGCTTTATTTTTCTATTTTAGTTATTTGGATGGAAATCAGTTTACCCTTGTTCCAAAGGAGCTTTCCAACTACAAGCATTTAACACTCATGTAAGTAGTTTTAGAGCAGCTTTTTATACTGAAATGGAAAAAAAAATGCCCTACTCCATTATACCTGGGTTTAGTTACAAGAAAAAAACAACAACATAAAATGTATCATATCTTTTAGCAAATGTAATACTCGACCACATTTTATAACGGAGGGTATTTTATTCCACTGATCACATCCTATATAAAATATTCTTGGTCACATTTTATGACCAGGTCTATTTCATTCCAGCGATTACATCATGAAATAAATAAGCAGAAATTATAGTTAATCCAAAAAGAAATGTAAGATCTTACAAAGTCAGGGTAGTTAGTGTAAGGTGTTATGGTAGTACAGCATTTTGTTATGCAGCTCCATAAATGCACTAGAATTATTTCATTTACAAAAGAAACGGTGTGGTATGCTTCACAAAGGAGTTGCATGTACAGCTGTTTTTCCCACAATATATGGCTTAATGAGTGAAGAAGAGAGCTTGTCTAGAATGCCTTACTCCCAACTCTGTTGCTGACTCACTCTGTGATTTGAGGCAAATCACTAGCTGCTCTAAAATTTATTACCTCTACTTCATGAATGATTTGGATATGATTTCTCTACCTTATAAGAGTACAGTGAGAGAAACAGGAAGACTGTGACTGTAAATGGATGTAATTCCATGGCCTTTGTTAGGACTATGAAAATTTATGCCAGCTGAGGTAGAGCTGTGTAACATTCTGAAAGCAGTTTGCAGTTTCATTATAATCAGAATAAAAAGTGGAGGGAGTAACAAAATCCCTTACATTTCCTTTTGACTTGGTTTAGAGCTTTGCTGCAAAAGTCGAATGTAGTTTTGAATTCAAAATCAAGAACTTGACAAAAGTGGTCACGGCTCCAAATTCAGAAAAAATACGTTTCCAAATCTTTCAGTATTTTGCAAATAATGTCAGGAAAAAAACACTGCAATATTCTCAGATGTGTAAAGCATGGGACCTAGGAAATCTTTGTTTTTGTAAAACGTTGAAGTTTTGCAGCAAACAAAAAATATAAATTTTTTCACCTCAGCGTAAGAAGCACACGTATAGATTGGACTGAGTACAGTCATAGTAGCAGGGGAGACTGGATATATGTCTAGAGATGAGGTTAATGAGAAGTGTAGTGGCAGGGCTTCCATCACAGAGATGAGATACGGATGGTCTATTTTTGACAGACACAGACAGAAATTGTATAACTTTACCTCCTTATCAGAAAATACACACAACTTAGCAGACAAGTAGATGAACAGTAAATAAAATGCAAATAAGATGAGTCCCCATTTTTCTGACCTGTGGGGCACATTATTATAATCTCTTCTGAGTGTAACCTCATACTGGTGTTCTGAAATTGAGACTATTCCTCAGTTGTGTTTGGAAAACCGAAACACTGTGCATAGTTAGTTCTGTGGCCAAACAAGTAATTACATATAGATTTCCCCAGTTCCAAATTAAAAAGTAAAATTATTTCTTTCTAACTTATTCTTTCTCTTTTGGATAGATTACTCTGTTATACTTCCCTAAAGTGGTTCCTACTGTTAGTCAGTTCTTACATGCTTGCATGAGATTTCAAGCAGAGAAGTATGTGTATTGCATAGCAATTCAACAGTACTCTTAAGTTAAAATATCAAGATTCTCTCAGAAGCAAATGCTCTTTCACCACAAAACACGATAAACAGTAGTGAAATAGTCAACATAAATGAAAACTAAAACACAGTACGAGCAGTATTTACATGTAATGCAGCTTCTTCAAAGCTGCTTTGAAGCTACCACCTGAAGCTACGAGCATGCCCTCCAGCTTCCATCATACTTATGCTTAAGATTTTATTTATTAGAATATTGAACAACCAGAAAGATGTTAAGGCTTTCTCTATAAACCTTAGATAGAGTTATTTATTATAATAGCTCTGGGCTTTGATGTATTCAGCATATAAGTGTTAAGTAGAGCATTAGATCATATTTACTTAGGTGTCATTAGGGACATGACTAGAATGATTTCCACTTTAAAATGTCACTATCATTTCTATACTTAGGTTCATGTAGGATTGCATTATTAACTCAGCAGCATGACGGACATTGCTGTTTTATAAGAATGCATTGCGCTGCTTTTTCATCTGTGTTGAAGTGAAAATGCTTTTCATTGCTCAAGCTAGACACTTGCTGGGCTTGTATATCGCATGTGAAAATAAAAATATGTGCTGCTTTAAATATTGGTACCAATGATTATACTACTACTACTAATAATGTGTCTGTCGGTGTTTCAGGACTGGGGCAGTCATTTTAAGGTCTGAATTTCTGAATTTATTTTTTGTAGAGATTTAAGTAACAACAGAATCAGCACTCTTTCTAATCAGAGCTTCAGCAACATGACTCAGCTGCTCACCTTGTAAGTTTAAACATGTAAAAGTGACTCTTTGGAAGCGTTACAGTGGGATTTTTGTTCTGGAATGAAAGGACTTTTAGTTGATATCAAAGCTTGCTTGTTGTGGAGGCTGTAAAATAACTTGTTTCCTAACTAGCTATGTGTGCAAATGCTGGTTTTGGTCATGCTCTGCATTGTTTACTGTATGGCTGATATACTTACTGACACTATTTTATATATATATTTTCAGAATTCTTAGTTACAACCGCCTGAGGTGTATCCCTGCACGGACTTTTGATGGGTTGAAATCGCTTAGGTTGTTGTAAGTATTTGTTTTTAACTATTGCTATTTTTCAGAATTTTTATTTATGTATAGCAGATAGCAAATCTCTTGGAAGTTACTAGATTTTAAAACCTGTCAAGTATTTGAGAAGTGATAATTAATGTAGCCTTAAAAATCTAAGTGGCTTCATTCTGAGGAAGTACACTCTCAAAACATTGCACAAGAAGTTATGTGGCTCTGGACCACATTGTATATACAGACATAGACTTTTCTGCTTTTTAATCTTGGCTGTATTTCTTTCTCGTGTTATGTTCTTCGATGTTTTAAGTATTAAAGTCTAACCAAAATGCCATATGCATAAATTCCTTAGTATATATGAGGTGGTTTTGCAGTTGTATTTTGAATATTTTTAGTCCAGCCATAAATTTATTTCCTTCTTGTTTCATTTAATATGGGAGTCTTTTGAAAACCATTACATCATGGTTAACTACTGAAAATCAATAAAATTACTTTTTGGCTCCAGAAAAACTTTCCAGTTTACCACTAGAAAAAACATGGTTAAAAGGGCACAAAAAGGGACAAAGGAAAATAAGGAACAGCCAGTCTAGTTTACAGCTTCAGTTTACTATTAAGAAAAAAAAGCTGCAAAAATTCTTGCTCAAAATTTCCTAGCAGAACATGTAATTTCTGCCTCCATTTGGGTAGTTTATATCCATTTAATAACTTGGATTAAATGTCTGAAGCATTATTTAAATATGCTCACATAACTTCAATTATTTTATATCAGTATGGATAATTTGAAGAACCATAATTCCATATGTGTTAGATATACATGTAACCAAATGAATTTATGGAAAAGGGGAGATATTTTTGTGCAGGTTTGCTACAGGAGAGATAAAACTAGTCCCAGTATTGTTGTTTAATAAGGTCTTTAGTTCTCTTTACTCTCAAATTACGGCAACAACTCTAATGCTTATATTAATGAACAAGCAATGCCTGTATTTTCCATAAATCCATGAAAGATTTTTTAAAAAGTATGAACATAATTAACGAGAATTTCAGCGAATGGCTGAAAAAGTCAGGAGCAATAAGTCTTATGCTATCTGTAAATAAAAACACTACTTTGCAGAAATGTGCCTCCTTTTACCAGCCTTGATTCTTTCAGTTTTAAAAGACTCATATTATTAACATTTCTTGTGGAAATTCAGGTTAAAAAAAAATTACAAGTAGACTGCAATTAGAGCTTAAAAAACAAACAAACAAATAAAAAAACACCCAAAAACAAAAACAAAGAGAAGCTGGAAACACTAAGGAAGTGGAAGGGAAAAAATTGTGAAAAGCTGAAAACTGTTTACTGAAGATGAAATTTGCAAAGGTAACCTGCTGGTTTTTATTAATATAGATTATTCTCTTTATTTTTTTTTTAAGATCTTTACACGGCAATGATATTTCTGTTGTTCCTGAAGGAGCTTTTAATGATCTTTCAGCGTTATCACACCTGTGAGTATTCAGATGATAACTGTATCTCTTTTTTACATTACGTTTAGCAAATTTCACCTAGTCAAACAAAGAGAAAGTGCAAAGGCTTGCTCTGAAACGAGTTCATGCATCAGAGGCTGCGGTCTGGCCAGAGAGCTAGCAGCTCCGCAGAAAAATCCTGGGCCTCCTGGTGTGCAGCAAATTGAACTCGTCTGCCGTGTGCCCTTACGGTTAAAGAGACTAAAGACACTCTGGGCTGAATTAGAAAGCGAGAAGCCAGGTGACTGAGGATAGTGGTCGTTCCTTTCTGCGGGGAATACCTGTTCAGTTTCTCCGGGACAAAGCAGATGTGTGTGGACCAGAGCAAATCCAGTATGGGGCAAGCGAGGTGGGGAGGTGGCTGTATTGCATGAGCTATGGGGCTAAAAGAACTGGGCTCATTTAGCCTGGAGATAGATATGCCAAGGAGGGACCAATAGCCTTTAAGCCTCTAAGGGGATTACAGCGATGATGGAGACAGATTTTTCAGACATGCACAGTGAAGAAAGAGTCAACATTTGATCGAACATAATGAAAAATTCTTTATTGTGAGGGTGGCTCAGCTTTGGAACAGGTTGCCCATAGAAGCAGAAGAATCTCCATCCCTGGAGATTTTCAGAGCTCAGCTGGATGCAACCATGAGCAACCCTGCTGACTTTGAAGTAAGCCCTGCTTTGTGCAGGAGGTGAGACTAGATGACCTCCAGAGTGCCCTGAATTATTCTGTTCTGTGTCGGTGTCTGATAAGTTGGCATTAAAGATATGTCATCTGATTTCAGAACATAATTTTCAATGAGAATCTAGACTATAACAAGTTACCTATGTGTAAATCGTGTTGTGGGTATGGCTATTTGCTGCATCTTTGCTTGCAGTTGAGAAGTTGACTGCTGCCTTTAGATATCTCTGATTTTTATGTTTCTGAACAGCTATAGTTGTTGAGAACTTAGTTATTTGTTTCTAGTTCAGTATTGGACATTTACATTTAATTTGTTGTTTCTCAGAAATTAGATGATACTGATTAAGTTTAAGTCATTGATAATTCATTCAAATGCTACTGTTAAACTAGTTCATCTACATGAAATATCAGTAAAACTTACATAGATGTGATTGTTATTGCTGAGTTTTTTTCCTTAACAGCTACCACTTATCCCTCCTAACAGTGATTTTAGCAGAGCAGTTGTGTTATCTCAGTTCAGGTTGACTTCACTCTTGCAAATATAAAGTGGACAAATTCTAGGTGTGGGAAGTTCCCTATCGCTAGGTCTAATTTTTGTTACTGCTCTGACTTAAGCCTGACTACATATATTCTCTTGAGTTCAGGTGGAAGTATGTAGTAATATTTAAGAGAGGATTTCCTGCTCAATGTGGCAGAAACTAGTATCCCAGCAGTGGTAGGTTCTACTGCCTTTGCTTGCTAAAAATTTTATTGTATCTGTAGAAGACCCACTGATCCACAGTTGTGGAGCTGAAAAAAAAGTACTGAAGCATCTGGAGGAGGATGTTACTTCCATTTGACAGTGTGTGCACATGTCAAAATTATCTGTTGAAAGTTCTGTGATTGTTGTACTTCTTAAAAAAAAACATGAGTACATCTTTATAGAACAGCACAATGCTTCTCCAAACTAACTACAGAGCATATCACTGTTCCCAGAGTACTTATAGTTTCTAGAAGAGAAAATAGACACATAAAAAGCCTTTAAAGCACTTAATTCTGAAAACCTCTAGCTAAATTATTTTTTAATTTAAAAAAATCAGACTTATTTAAAGAAATGGATTTGCTTTCATAATGAGGTAATTATTTCATAACTACCACAAAGCTAGAATAATGTAGGAGAGACCTTGTCCTGGATTCAGCTAGGATAGAGCTAATTTTTTTTCTTCTTAGTAGCTCGCTTCTTAGCAGCTAGAATAGTGCTATGTTTTGGATTCTGTTTGGGCAAGCACGACAAACCTCTTACAGAATTCTGCACATAGCTGTGAGTTCAGTGGGAGAGCTCCAAAGAGGAAATAATTAGATCAAAGTTGGAAGCTTAGAAACAGATGGGAAACCAGCCTGGGAGCCATAAACCGAAAAGGAAAAATATCAGGGTGGAACTCTCTGGGGTTGCCTTGGTTGCTTCAGAAGAAATACTTTATTCTTGCTAACTTAATTTCCCAGTATCAATTTCATTCTGCTGATGCAGCTGATCTTGGCCATTACATACCAATGGTTAAACAGAGCTACGTAGTATTAGCTCTCTACAGTTGACACATAATGCAGCTAAGAATAGCTAGATTTCTGGACCAACTTTACTCCTAAAACTGTCATGTCTTGATTTACAACCTGAACCCAGACACTTCAGGCTCTTACGGTCAATTTAGTGGAAGGAGGGCAGGTTTGTGGTTTAAAGTTGGGGTTTTTTGCCAAACTGTTTTCTGAGTTCTCTTTTTCAAAGCAACCATTTAAAAGTTTATTCTGCTTCTGTTTGTCCATTTTCCACAGGGCTATCGGAGCAAATCCTCTTTATTGTGATTGTAACATGCAGTGGCTATCTGACTGGGTAAAATCGGAATACAAAGAACCTGGTATTGCACGTTGTGCTGGTCCTGGAGAAATGGCAGATAAACTTCTTCTCACAACTCCTTCTAAAAAATTTACTTGCCAAGGTACTGTTGTTGTGTCTTTTTTTTTTTCTCTAAGAAGTGCCAATTCTTACAAGTAGTTGAGCTGTAAAATAAGATATTATATAAAATATTATAGCATCTTCACTCAGCCCTGTCGTCATTCCTCCTTGTACTTAGGGCTGTAGCCATTGGTTCCATTCAGGAACTGTATTTATTTTAAAGACTTCAATGCCTATTTCTTTTCAAATAGCAGGAGAAAATAAATCTTCGAACTTGCAGTACAGTATTTCTCAGTACCTCTATGTACTTGGATACATCATACTATCTCAATCATGAACTAGTGTATACATGTACACTTCCCATTCCCTTCAGACTGTTTACAGTAAAAACTGTAAATACATTCATAGTCTTTGTAGTCTGTAATTAGTTGCATTAATATGTCCAGACTGCTTCCTCTGATATTTCAGAGGAAAGCATAAAAAACCAAATAAAGATAAAGGGATGTAATTACCTCTATAGAGATCTCATTCTAGAATGTTGTTATATGGGGAGATTTCTCAGGGTTTGGACCAGGAGTATTTATCTGCAGGTTGGTCAGATTGTTGCTGGTATTTGTATCACAACTTTGCTTATTATCTGTTAATTCCTAGGTTCTTTTTCTTAGCCTTACTGGTTTTTGGTTAGGAAAGTACCTTTTTTATTCACACGGAGAAAGAACTTGGTTTGTTTTACTGTTTAATCTTCCTCTATTCCATCTGTTTCTCCCTTCTTAAATATTTTGAAAACACAGAAAATTTCTGCTGTAGCATCATTTTTCATGAACCTGATTCAGGAACATCGAAATCCCCCATTAAAAAAACACAACCAACAACAAAGTTATGTGTGCTTATACTTGTAAGCCATTACTAAGCTTGTGGTTATTTCTGATGCATCAGATAAATATAATCTTAAATCTTGTAGAAGTAACTTATTCTTACACTCTAGGTAATCTTCAAACTATTTTGTTTTATTCCTCTGTTAGTGTATCTTCAAACGTGAGCTTAATCCCTTTGTAATTTCTTCCTTAAAAAAGCAATGGGACTTTGTCAGAGTTTGTCTCATCCAAAGTTGTTCTTTACTGCATATTCATCCTAGTTAGTCTCTTCTCCTAAGGCTTTCTTTCAAAAAACTGTTTGTAAACAAAAAAACATGGAACACCCTTTGTTGCTTGTGATGCCAATGAATTGTCTTTCCCTCCAATTCATTCTTGCAATTTTTCAGCAATACACCTCTCAGGTCATGCCAGTGTTCATTGCACATGACACTCATCTCTTGCGAAGACTCTTAGTGTAGATTGTAGATAGGACGTTTGCTGGCTGATCTGATCATCTTGTCTACAAGCATCCACTGAACGTTGTGGCAGATATGCTCTTGTTAGACATTGTTGTAGGGATATAAGTGAATAAATACTTGCATGGACATAAAGAACCTGTTTGGCTCTTTATCAGCTCTGTCAGTTTTGAAAACTGTTATCACCCGTGCCTGCAGTCATTGCCATGTTTCTGTCAGACAATCCAGAAAGTGTATCTTTCTCCCTCTTGCCCTTCAGAAAATATCCTTTATATTATTATGCAGGGTAAGAACTATATTTGTTTCACTTCCAAGAGTGGAGATCTGGTATTATGGATACCTTTGAGAGAAAATATTTTTCCTGCCACTGTCCTATGAAGATGCTCATAATTACAGATTGCAAATCAGCAGCTTTTCAATGACATGATGGCCCTGTAAGACAGTATGTGTCTGTTGCTCAAAGATAAGTAATTTTATCTTTTGCTTAAAAATTAACTGCTGAATAGAAATCAGGAAGATGCTATATTCCTATTAGAACCAAAATTTTAGGCTAGGAGTGAAAGGACTGTTCAGACTATCTGTTGATGGTCTGCTGTTGTGTATATATTTACAGGAGAAGAGTAGTGTGTAATTCCCTCTTATCAGTATTTCTGGATTCATTTGAAAGTGAAATGGGTGTTTGAATTTTACTTGCATAATGAGTAGTTTCCAGTGAAAATGAGCTTTTTAAAATGAAGTCTCATCTCAGTTGTAAAGCTCCATAAAATTGCTCTATATTATTCTAATTTTATGAATTCTTCTACTCCAGGAATCATCCCTTAGTATTTTCTTCTTTCAGTGGTTTTTCTACATTTATGGCTGGGTTTTTGCTTGTTTATGTGTCCTCTAACAGATTCTTAATCTTTTACTTTTACCCCTTTCCCATCCATGCCCTGCTTATAGAGATGCCAGGGCCTTGTGGTTTTCTGATACCAGGTAAGGTTATAAGTAGATCTGGAATGGGTGATCTGATTTAAGAATGGACCTTCTGACCTTCCTTTTGTGTATGTCAAGCAAACTTTTTTCCTAAGACATGCATGTTTGCTGTTTGTTTTCCCCTTTGATGAATTTACAGTGGAATCTTCATGATACGCGATTTAAGATACTGTATGAATAAGTTTGTTATTTTAAAAGCCTGGGTTTGAGGTCTGAAAACTACCTGAAGGACACCACTGCATTGTAGTAAAATCAGTGATTTCATTAATGGCGGTAATGGAAGTGAATGAGTAGAGATACTGATTTTCAGGCTATATGCAACAGAGGACAGGAGTCCTAAAAAGTCAGAGCTCATTTTCAGGCTATATGCAACAGAGAACAGGAGTCCTAAAAAGTCAGAGCTCAAAGTTTGTCTGGAAACAGGTTTCTCAAGAAGCTGAGTTTGAGAGGGTTTCTGTCACGTTTTTCCCTAAAAAATGACAGGTGCACGTTTGGCAGTAAAATATGATCAAGTTTTTACTGTTTCCAAAACAACACTGCTTAATTTTCCTTTTATTTTAAGGATTATTTTTTTTGGTCAGAGCGTTTTCAAGAATATATATGTCTTCAAGATGAAAAATTATACAATAGGGTATATATATGAACCCAATTCTTTTTCATATACAAGTCTTTTAACACATGCAGACAGAAAGAGGAAAAGAACGGTATAATACAAATGAAATTAGGTTCCAGAACTGCCTTTCCAGTACACTTCAGTAAAAATACTTGAAATATTTCCATTTTTTTTATCTCACAAGTGAAGAATAATACATCAATATGGAAAACTAACAACTTGAATACTACCTATATAATTTTAAATAAACGCTTACAGCCCAAAATCAGATACAGTGTTGTTGAAACTTAGGTTCCTGCTTTTTGGCTCTGTTTTGGAAGTGAAATTTAGATTGCTAATCCATTAGGAAAATAACCTTAGTTACTGAATGTTTTTTAATTCATGCCAAATAATTAGCATTTCACTGCATGATAAGTGGAAAAGACGTTATGATGTTCAAAGAGTTCAAAACAAAGAGTTGAGGCAAGGAGGCATAGACATCAGGCTGTAGCACAGGCTACAGCACAGTGTTACAGTTATTTTTTTAAAGCATATGCTTCTCACTCCTTATTTGTTTCACATAACCTCTTAATGTACTTTCACAATAATCAACAACAGCTGAGAGTATACAGGCAGGAATTTCTAGATGTTAATTTTAAGGCGTTTGTTTCAACTCTTCTACCTCTGCTCTTCGCTGGTCTGATAGAAACGTTTACCAGGTGTAGATTTTTCTTTAAAAATAATGCAATGAAGACAAGAATAGTCAATGATCCATATAGATCATTGTGGCTTTGGTAATAAGCATCTTATCGCGGATTACTGTGTTCATCCTTTTGGATTTGGTTGCAAGCTGTGACACAGAAGGATACCAGCAACAGCAGATTTTTAAAAAATTTAAAAAAAAAATCAGCCTTTTCTTCTCTAACACCCCCTACTGAATTCTTATAATCACATGGCTTCCTTCCATGCCAGCTCTCTCTTGCAGAAATCACATTTTTTTCTAACAAAAACGTATGAAAATGAATCATTACTTTTAAACAAGTGATATCTAATTTTTATCAAAAAAGCAGTAATTTCTTTGGTTGTTTGACAAAACACATAGACTCATGGTACAGTTTGCATTGTTTTTTAGCTCATCTAATGGAGTAATGCCCAGAACTGTGGCTGACTCCATAAGAGAGCAAGGTACAGTACAGAGCTGCTTGTGGTGAGGTAGCTTGGACAATGCAATTTACATTACACTTCACAGATTTTCAGCCAGTTCACAGGTCATTTTACTGGTTCATTTTGCCATTTCTGTGACTTGCAGATAAAAAAATCAATCAAAGCAAAAATACGTTAAAAATTTTAATCTCGGTAACACCATCAGAGGAAAGATTCCAAAGTGTGATAGCCTTTTTCCTTTTTTTCTCATAGACAGGCTTTTACCCCCTAACGAGACAAAAGTTGAATTGTATCTTCATTTTGCTAGTACATAGACAAGGTAATTTTCATGGATAATGCACAGATTTCAAAGAACAGGGACGTGGGAATCAGTTTGGCGTCAGCTGATTTTTCTTTTTCTAAAAAAAGAAAAAAGTGATAATAAAACCAAAAATCCAACCCCAAATTTATTTGCTCATGTCAGAATAATTAAGAACAGTCCAGCATTCCATTCATATAGAAACACCAGGAAGTCCAGAACACAAATTTCATTTTAAAATTGAAAGCAACCTGGCAGATACATCTTGTCAATATAAATTAATAGCCTTTAGTTTCTGACTATCCAATTTGTATTTTTAAGGGCCTGTGGATGTTAATATTCTTGCTAAGTGTAACCCCTGTTTATCAAATCCATGTAAAAATGATGGAACCTGCAACAATGATCCAGTTGACTTCTATAGATGTACTTGCCCTTATGGTTTCAAGGTAGGTAATGAATCAGGAGGAAGATTACTGAAACGTAAGCTTCTCCTTAACAACTCTTAAGTTTACTTGGCTCCTTTCCACTAGTGTCTGCATTTTCCTCTTTAATTGTAATTGTTGTTACCTGTATAGGGTCAAGACTGTGATATTCCCATTCATGCTTGCATCAGTAACCCATGCCACCATGGTGGAACTTGTCATTTGAAAGAAGGAGAAAAAGATGGTTTCTGGTAGGTTGTTTTTGATTGTAGTAACACGATGGAAAACTACTGAGTTGTATATGCTGAAATAATTTTGGTGTTAATCCTTGAGTTCTTGAATGTTTTCTGGTAAGGGCACCACAGTGGCAGATTTTCAGTGCTTCTGAAGTTTTTCAGAACATTTCACCGTCCTTGGAAAGATTTTAAAGCTTTGAAAATGCTTAAAACAGTAACAAATGATTGTGATTAGTTGAGGCATATCAGGTCAAGACAACATAATATTGACTTCATTATGCTAATTAATAGCTAGCTAGATCCCTGCTGAAAAAATCTCACAATTCATCTGTTGTCGTGTGTATTACTTCAACAGACAGCATGTAAATGATAAAATGTAAATCCCAGTGAAACAGAAAATTAATGATTCATTTGAAACTCACTATGCCAGCAGATAAACATGCTGTGAGCATTTTTAATCTTGAGTTATTTAATCACACATTGCAATTACTCCAGATGTACTTCATGAATTATGAAATAAAGTTCTTTAGCATTCTTATGTGAAATTATTAGTCGTTTAATAATCTACACCTCAAGCTTGTTAGAAATGACACTTCAAAAAGGTACAATTCATTATCCTGCAATTCATTATGACATTATTCTTATTTTTTAATCCAAATTCTGCCCAAAGATTAACCAGTTTTCCATTAAAAATTAAGTGTATACATCTTAATACCATGCCTCTAGAATTTAAAGTGACATAGTCATGTCTCAGAATTTGACCTTTTTTATTTATTTGTTTAAACACTACATATTTTGAAAATCAAAGCACTCTTGTAATGAAAGCTGCAGAAATTATAGATGGTGCGTTTCACATGAAAATGTATGTTTAGTCATGTTTGAGTGATCTTTTGCTATCTGTTTTCATGTATTTGTTTTATATAAGCAAAAGCAAAGAAAATTACTGCCTTGATGAGTTTATACAGGCTTTGTTTTTATATATTAATGCATGAATTGTACATGGAATGTTAAACAGAGCTTTAGAGTGGTGCCTTTAACTGAATGATAGTGCAACACTATTACATACTAATCCCTGGTTCCATAGTCTTTTCCATGTATTTCACTTTATTTCTATGATAAATATAATATAATTTTATAATATAGAGGTAGCATGCTTTTCAGGAGGAAAGTTCAGTGATTTAGTTTAAGAAGCTCCTTAAACTAATGAATAAGGCATAAATTTAGAAGCCTTTTTTCTGTACCTTAAAATCTGAAAAATATTTTGATAATGTTTATCGCATGTTTTTTTACATTATATCAATCATGTTCCCTAACGGGATAGTGGTTATAAATTATACCTATTAATTACAGATCTTCTTGTCTGCTCTCCCCAGCTAAAATGTCCATGTGTAGTTAGCTTTATTTTCTGTACTACAGGTGCACTTGTGCAGATGGATTTGAGGGTGAAAACTGTGAAGTAAATGTTGATGATTGTGAAGACAATGACTGTGAAAATAATTCTACTTGCGTGGATGGAATTAATAACTATACTTGCCTTTGTCCACCTGAATACACAGGTAGGAGTATAAAAGAAAGTACAGGTAATTCACGAATTGCTAGCAGAACAGTTTATTTTCAGTTTGTATGTGAATTGTTACCCTACAGTTGACTTAAGACCAGGTTTACCTCCATATTTTTCTCATATACAGTTTGCAGTCAAAGTAGACTTAATGCCTACTCATTCATTCCTTTTTTTAGACTTGAAATGACAGCATTTTGATAATTAAAAGGTCACCGAAAATGCATCCCTCCCTACTGTTTAACGAACACAGACACCCCCATGAAGAACATCTGTAGCTTTAGAAATTTGAAAAATATTCTGCTTTTATCCTATATACATCGTGTTACTAACAGGGCAGAAAAGGATCTGTTTGTGCCAATAGGTAACTGAATTTGGCACTCTTGGATGTTATCCTGCCCTTTTAGAAACATTAATGCAGAGTGTGATGCTTTCTCTTCTAGCACAAAACCCCACAAAATAAGCAAGCAAATAAAAAAAAGAATCATTAGAGAGTGTCACATTATTTGTTTCTATCAGTTGGTAGCCAGGCTGAAGCATTCCCCTCTCCTTGAGACAGAGGGTCTCTTGCTTGCTGCCATCATCTCTGTGAGAGTGGAGGATAGTTAGAACAGCAACACTGGAGGACAAAAAGTAGGATCTATTGTTTACATTGATCTGGTTTATAATTTTTATAACTACACAGATTCTGCCTGCTATTTGACCCCTAGAAGAACACAAAGCTTAAGTTCACGAAACCATGTCTTTAAATTAGTAAAAAAGAAATTTAATATCCACCATAACTTGGGAATTACCTCTATTCTGCTATCCTGTATCTGTACTTTAGTCAATCAACCAAATCTGAGCTCTGGAAAACTTGGAGGAGAGGTGAACTGAAGTAATTTCCACAGTTAATTGATTTTTAATCCAAAGTATTTTTGTCAGTAGTTCTACAACATATTGGATTGCTCAGATGTTTTAAGGTATTCAGATTTAAAGACAACATTTACATTTTGGAAACTCACAGTGAATGAAGGTGATAGAACACATGATAAGAAATACGAATTCAAAATCTATATATTCATCCAGTACTTATGCTGGGTAAATGTTTGCTAGAAGTTTCCCAGGCAGAATAAGCTACAATACCTACAGCAATACAGCTTAAAAGCATAAGTAGCCAGAAAAAGGTATTTAGTACTGAATGGATGGCCCACATCTGGAAGATCGGACACAATCTTCTGCTTAGATAAAATATTGTTTTGCCAAGTACTGATACCTTCATACCTAAAAGCAATTTACAATTCAAGCCTTAGAAACAAATAACAATTAGTAGCATCACTAAGTAGAGAGAGGTGTTTGTCATTTCTCCTATAACTAATATTCCAGGTACATGAGTCAAGCTTCAGCTCTCCTGGGATCAGTTGCTAGCTCCTTAAAAAAAAGGATCAGATATTGTACTGTGTAGGCTAGAAGAAAGCAAATCAAAGTCACATCAGCCCAGCATTCCTATTCAGTGGCTTCATGCTATTAGACAACTCATTTGCAAGTGCGTTCCTCTTTTGCAGCTTGCAGGTGTTTTGACCTGTGACGTTCATTTCTTCATTTTCAACATTGCTCTAGGTGCATTTCAGTGCTGGGCAGTAGCTTGCTGTATTCACACACTAAGCCATCTGAAGGACTGTTTTGTACTAAATATCCATGAAGTGGATACAAAGGCTTGTTTGTATACACAATCCTAAAAGTGTGATTAAGTGTGCCTGTTGCTTTTCTGTAGTACTGGAATTGAAATGGACATTTTACATTTACAATTAAGACAGCAATTGTAGCATTTCTCTATACATCTGTATGGTTAGAGCAAGAAGGTGAGCATAAACATAGGTAATGTTTTTGATGTTTGTCATGCAGTTGTGCTTCTTTAGTCAAAATACAAGACGATATTTTTTGATTCTTAATTGTGCATAATTCTAAAAGGAAAGTACAATGAGTTTACATGAAAAGTCTTTTGTCATGCAATTGTGCTTCTTTAGTCAAAATACAAGACAAGATATTTTTTGATTCTTAATTGTGCATAATTCTAAAAGGAAAGTACAATGAGTTTACATGAAAAGTCTTTTTGTTTGCTGACTAATTCTTTCAGAGAAAGAGGTATACTTTTACAGATGCAATGCTCGCTCATAATTGCTACTGAAGTCAATAGGTCATGTGAGTAGGTGAGAATCTTCTTACTAGCTCTAAAATAAATCAAAAGAAGCTACTTATCATCAGTAAGTTTAGCTGCTCTGGTTTTTAAAAAATGTTGAAAATTTACACTATATCTTCAGATTTTTTCAACACCCTACCAAAACCAAAGACACATGTATTTTTTTAAAACATAAAACGCCAGAGACTCAACTCCTTTTATAGATAAGTTGGGTAAAAATTTTTAGCAAAAGTTCAGGTTTTACATTCCACAGGTTACAATACAGAACTCCACAATATACTATCTATTTCACAAAGTGTCCAAGGATAGAACACAACGTGTGAGAGCCTAAGTCATTTTTGAGATTAGCTGTAAAGAGAAAATACAAAATATTGATCTAGTCAAGGGGTCTTCATGTCCATCATCCTTGAAAGGATGTTAAGACATGGATGAGTTAAAAATTAGACTGACAGTAGTCTGGACACATCAGGATGTAGACATGCTAATGTTCAGAATAAAAATAATCTTACAATTCCCTCATCTGTGTATGAGGTCCTAAATTATTGACAGGACTATTTTTTCTCTCTTACCTTTAGCCTGATTTGAAAGATAAATAACAGGATCTCTGTCGAGTATAAATACAGTGATTTTCAGACAGAACTTTGTAAATATTTGGATTTTGGTATCTGTTCTAACAGGTTAAAAATAGTGGGTTTTTATGAAAGGTATTTTTCCTTAAATGAATTCATGTAGGTTAATGATCAGGAGAAGAGGCTATATATTCAGTAGGTAAAAAGATGTTTAAATTCAGAGATACCTCTAGCTTGGAAAGCCTCTGAGATGTAAATTGCTGGAGACTGGGACTGTACACATAGCAGGAGAATACCACCGTAGGTTTGTCATGTTCTCTTTTAATTCTATTGGCAACGCTTTGAATTGTCTGTGTTCAAGATGTCACAGCATATATATGCTGAATGTGAAAGTGCACCAGCCCAGAATATTTTTCTAGGTGAATGATTATCTGCGAATACATTTTACATTTCAGTAAGTCAGTATAAGGAAGAAGTCAGCTTAAACCTGCTGGTATGAACTGTAAAACATTCTTCTATAAAGTTTTATTCTCATATGGAGGGCTTGTTAAAATATCAGCCTGTGAAAATACATACGAACACTACAAAAAAAACGTTGCATTGCAAAACAAAACAGTCACTTTTTGACTTTTCTAACAATCCCTCGAAAAATTGACACTTCTCAAGTGCACAATAAACAATTTAAAAAACTTATTATGTGGCTGCTTAGGAATCAGGAATCCATTTTCCTCTGCCTGTTTTACTATCTCCACAATTACAGGTCGAAAGACAAAGAATGGTATTTGCACTATACTGTGAGCTTTCTTAAGGTCACAGACTCTAAGTGTGAAATAACAGTAAGCAAATGGAATCAGCAGACACTCAGGGCATCTGATGAAACCTTGAGAAATAAAAGATTCAAAATACCTCAGTATGTCCTGCACTCTTTAACCTCGCTATTCTCTTAACATTGTCATCTCCTTTATTTTATCCTCAGCCTAGTAAACTTCAGGTCATTTTATGTACATTCTATAGATTACAGATGATCATTTCTCTTGCTCATTATCATCAGTCATTAGATCACAGATCGAACTGATCCAGAAGTAAAACCTTTCTTATGCCACCGGCAGCATGTACTTCTTACCTTATCTGTCTGTTTTGCTCTGCTGTAGGTGAGACTCTGAAGCTTGCTTCATTTTTGCTATATCAACCTCTCTGCTGCTGTAGTTGTGCATTAGCTTAATGTGCTATGCTGTTGTATTACAATGTAAAAAGTCTCTTGTCTCTTCTGTCTTTGTCACTGCAAGCTGCTAATCTGAATGAAGTGGAAAAAGGTCAGTTGTCTTTTAAGCCTGTTTTCACTTACTTTGGTTTCTCACTTTCCTTTCCTTAAAAGTGCATGGATTTCAGTTCTTACAAAATGATCAAATAAATCGTATATAGATAAAATATAGAAAGCTCACTGCAAATCCTCCAATTAGGCACTTGGCTCTTGCTATGAATACATGTCAAAAGAATGTTGTTGAAGATGCAGATTGCTGTGCAGGAATACTTTAATATTACCTTTGTTGTGTTTTTTTCAGATGTATTAAAAACTTGTGTAGACACTGATAGGACTAACAAAAAAGTTTACGTGTTAACCTCAAATCTTTATTCTCGGCACCTTAAAGACATACTCTGTTTCCATTCTAAATGTATTCTCAGTTTTGCAGCACTGCTTTGCTTTAATTTCTTCTTTAGATTATGGTACTAGAAAATAGGATGGCAATCTTCTTGCTGTTGTTTCTGTGGCCTTTTTTTTACTGTAAATATCTAAGGAAACCAAAATGACCATGTTAAGTTGAGGCTGTGGTACAGGAAAGGTAACAATGGAGAGATTTATGACACTAACTTTGGGTGTTTCTGATTTTTAATTTTTTTTAAGTTTCTGCCTAGCACCTATCTTGCTAACAGATAAACCAACTTCTGTAGAACCTCATCTCTACAGTCTGAGTGCTCACATATTCAGTGATGACACATATATTAAGTTGCATATTGAGTTTTAAGAGCAAATTAATCTTGTAAGGTATTTGCCATTAATTTAGTCTGAGAAATATATTGTACAGTCAATAAAGAAATATAATATTTCAGTAGTAATAAAAGTATGCTCATAATCCATAAAATAACATGTTGAGCAAGGCTGCAGTTACACCAACTATGTTGATTAATTTAGACATCTGATGAATAATTCTTACAACTTATACTCAGAGTCTAAATTCTCTATGTAACTGATGTAGAGAACGAGACATTTCCAGAAAGTGAATTCAACCACAGATGTCGCACACTTAAAGCTGTATTCCACTTAAACATGTTGCCTTATTTGTATTTTATTATTGCTTATCTGGATAGCAAAGATAGCCTCCTGTTTTTCTTTCTCCTTGTCACTTCCTTTGTTACTTTTCTACATTATTATGTTACTATCCCAGTATGAAACTGGTTGATTTTACAAGAGTACTTGTCTGTAGAAAAACAAGGAAAAGAGCAAGCTCAATATAAATAAATATTAAAGTTGAGTTCTCTGTTATTCTTGGTTTTAATTAAAAAATCAACAAAAAAACTAGCAGATGACAATAACTAGTTAGACATCTGTGATTCATGGATAAAATTTTGCTTTGTCACCAATATCCAGTAGTGTAATTTAGAGAATATTAAGATTTACTTCTGGAAATTGAAAGAAAAACTTAATTTATATGTTCATGAAACATAGCTTTTTAAATGGTAGGTAAAAGGAAGATGCTTCTCTGAAGAGACTCAAATCTCCATTTCAAGTTGAAGAAGCTGTTGCCTGTGTATAATTAGTCTTTCTGATAGTTTAAATATGTTTAAATGTGATTAAAGGTAGAAAGGCAATGAATCCTAAACAGAACTGTAGTCACTGTAAATGTATTACAGAAGTGTGAACTATAACATATTAAAATTGCTGATTATATCAAGAATAAATTCTTCACAAACAAATTATCCAGCACCCAGGGGATGTGAACTAAGTTCAGCATCAAAATTAAGCAGATGTGTATGTGACACATACTTGTATTAGCTTGCCAGCTGAACATGAAAGTTATTAATGGGCTGTAAGTTGCTTAGAGGATCAGTCAGTTTTATCATTTATCTCTGAATTGTGACAGTAGTAGGAAGAAAGAAAAAAATGGATTATTTTAAGTAATTATGTCAGTTTAGGCAAACCCTAGACACAGATATGTATATACTTTTATATGTTTCAAAACTTCATTACGTGGCTTTTCCTGCTACTACAATAAAGGAGTTGAGTTACTAATTTCAATTCACTTGGTAATCAAATAAGTACCTGCCTAAAATTTAAGCATGCAAGTAATCAAATGCAAATCATGTCATAGCAAACTTACTTGATTAAAACTTTAATTATTTCTTTAAATCATGAACATAATCCTCATTCTCGTGTGAACTGCACTTAAGGTGCTGGAGCTGGTCTGGAAAAGGGCAACAAAGCTGGTGAAGGGCCTCGAGACTAAGTCATATGAAGATCTACTGAGAGAACTGGGGTTGTTTAGCTTGGAGAAAAGGGTGCTGAGGGGAGACCTTATCACTCTCTACAACTACCTGAAAAGAGTTTGTAGAGAGGTGGGTGTTGGTTCCTTCTCACAAGTTACAGCCAATAGGACAAGAGGCAATGGTCTCAAGTGAGGGCAGGGAAGCTTTAGGTTAGATGTTAGGAAAAATTTATTCACTGAAACAGTTGTCAAGCACTGAAACAGACTGCCCAGGGAAGTGGTTGAATCACCATCCTTGGATGGGTTTAAAAGATAAAGTGCTCAGGGCCATGGTTTAGAAGTGAACTTGGTAGAGTTAGCTGTGGGACTTCATGATTTCAAAGGTCTTTTCCAACCAAAACAATTCTGATTCTTTGATAAGCATTTCAGCCTCTTAGAATAAAAAGGTACCTTTTCTACTCTTGCTTTTCATCACTCATTGTAAAATTTTCTGTTTCATCTTGGTTAATCTACTTCAGATGACTAATACTAAAAGCTAGAGTATTAAAGCAATTTTAATGCATTTTCATAGAGCGGGAATATACATGATATCCTTTGCCAAGCTGAACTACCTGCTACTAGTTTGATCACTGCCATTACTGATTCTGGTCTATGATCCATCCTTTTGTTTTCCTTAATTGTCTTAAAGCTTACCTGCTTAAATTTACTATTTCTTTGTTGTTGCCAAATAGCATATGTAAAACAACTAGAAATGTTCAACTAAGTAAGCCTCATCTTACACTTGGATCCACAAGCATGGTAGATAAACTAACAGAGTTAAGCAGTGGTGAAAAACAGAAACAGCCCAGCAATAAATCAGATCTAGAATTTTACTTTAAAATTGAATTCCAACAAAATGTTCAGATTAGTGGTTAAAAACTGCATCTTACTGTGCCTGTGAACTTTGCAACTTTGTGCCTCACGTAGTAGATACTTTTATTTGTCTTTTCTGAATAATGAGCTCAAGACTTAATTTATGTTGTCTATTGTTCATCACACTCAAGATGTCATAAAAATGCAGTACATTTCTGTAGATAGTTTCTTAAATGGCACTGACATTTTCCAACCACTCCTACACTATTTGGGTGAGAAGTGATTCAACGGAGACCTCCAGTCAAAGACTTAGATAATTAAAATGGAGTGTTCTTTTTTCATGTTCTGTCTCTAGGGTTTTTTCTAGTGTCATACTCAGCTTTGCTAATACACTAGTGATATTAAGCTTGTTTATTAAGCTTGCCTATAATTAGCAATGTGCTATCATATTCAAAGACCATGTCCATTTGTGTTAGAGCTCTCCTCTTCATTCAGAAATATAGTGGCTGGCATTGCTTTATTTGACTGTATTTTGAATTTATTGCCCAGTTATTCAAAATATCAATTATGTAAATCCTTTCTCACCTCACTGCATTGTTCCTCATTATTTGTTGTACTCCGTGTATTTATATATTGGAAAATCCAGAGTTAAGGGTCTGTTCAGCCTTGAGAAAACAAGACTTAGGGGAGACCTTGTTACCATGTAGTAGTATTTAATGGGTGATAAAAAGAAGTGAACACTCCCTTTTTAATAGGAGTAACATAGAGAAGATGAGGTGTACTGGGTACGAGTTACTCCTGGGCAGATTCCATTGGACACAAGAGGAAAATGTTTCACAATGAAACTTCCCCAGGGAAGTAGTGGGTTACCTGATATTGGGCACCTTTAAGATTCAGCTGCACAGGGTCTAGACTGTGCTTTGCCAAGAAAGTTGGAGCAGATGATCCTTGAAGTCCCTTTCAACCTGGTATTCTATGATTAAGGTTTTATGTGATTTATAATCTCATGAAGACAAAAAAGTGAATTAACATACACAGAAAACACAAATTGACCTATGAATCTATCAAACTTATAAGTTTGGTTAGTTAATCAAGGATTACACACAATTCATCGCTGTTTAGATCTGCATCATCATCTATTATCTATCTGGAAAATCTCACTAAATATTCCACTCTTGATCTTGGAGGATTTTGTTCAATTGGACTTTGCTGACCACGCAGAGTTCCACTGGTTGCAGTGCTACTCCATACCAGAATCCAGACCGCATAGATTAATTAAGCAAGATGTCTTATAAAAGAGTTATTGTTGGTTCTAATTAAACTTTGGAAGATTTTCATAAGATTTTTGATGCTTTATCCCCTGCTTATTTTTAAACAAACTAGTCTGTTTCTTATTTTCCTATATACAGAAATCTTCCCATCTTTCAAAAACATAATTACTTAGCCAAGCTCTTACAGAAGCCTCAGTTAGAATATTACTAGATGAATAGAAGAATGTACGCACACATTGGTGTCAAGCTTCCTTGAACTGAGACATTTGTTTCACAATCTTTTTTGATTATTTTGAAATATGTTTTTTAAAACATTGTATTAAGCTTCCCAAATAAGTGAACTCTCTAAGATTTCCTCCCACTAAAGCTACAGAGCCTAACTTGGTAAATCTGGTATTTCCTTCAGTGAGTATTCCACTTTCATTATGTCTTTTCATTTCAACAAAATTACTTTCTCTCCTTCACATTACCTCAGTTAAATTCTGAATAACGCGTTAGTTATTCAGTAGGCTAAAAGAGATGTTGCTTTACCAGGAAATTATTATTCAGTGGTTTAGATTCCATGTCACATATTTTTAGTTAGCTTTTCCATTAAGTTTTTTCCAAACAGTTGTATTTTGATTATGGAAACACTCCATTCAAAGTATAAATCTGTTAACAGTACAAATGAAGATGTCATACTTGGGTTCTTTTGGTTTATTCTTCTGGTATTTATATTTTCAATCAGAAATTCAGTATCTGATAAAAAATGTTTTGGATTCCATCTT